TATATTAAAGTTGAATTTGGTAAGCGAGTGCTTAGTTTCATTCCTAAGCTATGTCACCCAAAGTAACTTTGGACGTACCTCTAGTAGCCTAGCTGAGGTACCTACTGTTACAAAATAGGACTAGGGCTATTGATATCAACCAATGTTTAGTAGCCTATATTTTAACTATCATTAAAAGTGCAACACAAATGAAAAGAAAAGGATTTTAATATTAAAACTAAGATATACAAGTTCAAATTTCTAGTTCCCGTGAACCTAGAACAGTAACCTTTATCTAGCCTATATCCTAAAACAGTAATAGATATTTTATATTTTAGAAATAATAACTATTATTTAACTAAGCAATAGTTAGGCCTATTACTCAAAGTGTTTGTTTTTTTATATATATAAGTACTAAGCAGAAATTCAACAAACCTAGCTAAATCTATCAAAGCTAATAAGTCAACCATTAGGCCTATAGGCCAGCTCATTAAAAAAAATTAAAAATCAGATTAACTTAACTAAACTTAGACACAGTGGCATAACTAAGGTTAGGCCTATCAAATAAAGGCATGTCTTGATAAAAATTTCTACCTAATTTATCTTGGTTTTAGTGTGTTTTTTAGATTTAGTGTGTTTTTTTCTTAGTGTTTTTAGATTTTTGTTCTTCAATTTCCCCTTCTGGCTGTGTGTTCTGTTCCGTCTCCTTGTCCATATCCTTCTGCTTGGAGTCTCTATCCTCCAAATTGGAGTCCCTATCCTGAGCTTGATGTGTTATCTCCCTTCCATATACGTGGCAAATAGGACAGACATCCTTCGAAAAATCCATATAAGAGATATTTCCCCTGTCATCACACGTCATCCCATAAAGAAATAGGCAATTCCGTATTTTTCTACCCATTATCACATTATCCAATTTTAAATGATGAACCTGCATTGTTAGGGCTGCAATCAGTACATAAATGGCAAAAGCAGAAATTACACAAATCTTATTGTTCATTAGAAGATTGCCTATAGATTGGCTGGGGTCATCCTCGTAGTCTGTGTAGACTAAGTAAATTGGAACTACAATCACCACTACACACAAAGCAATGTACAATCTTAAAGTTTTCAGTCTAGATTCTTGTAGTAGTATTTCTTTTAACCGTCGCTCGAATGCATCAAAATCTGATTTCTTTTTACGTTCCATAGGCCTATTTAAGTGAATTGGATTTGGGGCAATAAACTGTGATATACGAAGACCTTACGAACAGCTTACACTGGTACACTTCAGAAAGCAAAGCCGAATTGAATATCAGACCGGAAGCAGAAATAGGAAAGCTGTAGTCAAAGGCTGTCGATTCAATGGTCAAAGCATATTAAAAAAACTATTCATGTTTTAAGCACTGGTTTTAAGCGCCTTTTTTTCTTAAAAGAGATGCAGCTTGTGTTCCGTATCATATATGATTTGTTCTCAAATGTTATTTGTTTTCTTTGAATGTGAAAGTAGGCCTAAACAATCTGTTATATTTCTTTATGTAGTAGAAAAATTAACAATTCGTTGAAATAGGTACGGTAGTAGACATAAGGTAAAAAGTGTTTACATGATGTAGATGTAAAACGCATTTAGATGTCTACAATATAATGGTTTGTTTTCAAAGCAAATGTCATTGATATATTACTCAATAAAACAAAAATGACTTGTTAGATTATTAATACTGTCTATGCGAGTAAACTTCTCACCGAATTGTTAAGTCTGAATCGAAATAGGCCTGATTGTGGTTTATGTTGCTGACATGAATACGCTGTCAACTAAATGTTTCTTTCATACTAAGTTATATAATAAAGTTTACAGTACGATTTTTTATTTATTTATTTTTTGGTTGCAATATTAATGCAATTCCTGTGGAGGACAAGCAATAGTTTACAAAAAGAATTGAAATTCGCGTAGGTTTGCTACAGCAGGGTAATTTTCATTTGGTGGTTCTTGACAACTCGTACACGAACGTCATGAACAGAAAATGTGTTGTGCTTATTCTTATTTGAGCAGCAGCAGACGAAAACTTAGGTTTGTTTTTGTTTACATTCAATTACATCAGGCAGGATCACGAATCACGTCATGATTCATGATTCTATTCACGTATTTTTTAATGGTAGGAAAAAGGGTGAAAGCAGAATTTAAGATTCAGTTTCTGTTAGCTGTTAGGAAAGGATTGGGTGAGTTATTTTGATGAAACCAAGTGGCATAACCTATTATTTTTTCATTCAAAATTACCTGATATACAATAAGTTACTATTCTTCATAAATGGGATTATACAATATAGCCTAGAAAAAGTGTTAGACATAACTGCAGAGCTGCTTCAATAAATCGGCCCAAGCCTAGAGGTGCAAAAGGGTTTCGGTTTGTTGAGGGCGCAAGGTACCATTGCGAACAATTCCCCCACAAGGTAGGTGGAGAGGACCGCAATCATCTTGCTGGCCCATAGCACATCACATTCAAAACGCGGGCCTGCAGCTGTTGATTTATGTAGGCTACAGCCTAGATAGCCTTAACACAAGTCAAACAACACTAGAAATTCATAGATAAAGAGTTGTCTTGTAATAAAATATGTTTAGCCATTACATAAACCAGTTACGCTTCATACCTTTTCTAATAAATTCATGTTAAGATATAATTGTCGTTTCATGCAGGCAAACAAAGGTAGGCCAAGCTGAGGGTGTATCAACAATACAATCTTGCAACCATCAAAGAATATGGGTCGATGTCTACTTGTACCGGCGTCTAGTTGTACCTGCTGCATTTTGGTGACAGGCGTCTAGTTGTACCTCGTCCAAAGCTGTAGGTACAACTTGACGATGGTGCGGACGTCTAGTTGTACCTACGTCTAGTTGTCTCTACGTCTAGCTGTACCTCATACGTCTGCGTCTATTTGTACCTACGACTAGTTGTACCTACGACTACTTGTACCTACAACTACTTGTACCTACGACTACTTGTACCTACGACTAGTTGTACCTACGCCTACTTTTACCTACGTCTTGTTGTACCTACGGCTAGTTGTATCTCCCCTTCAACTTGTCACCAGTTTAATTTTATTTCATTTCTTTAAAAATCATACAATCTTACAAAAATTTTTTATAAACAACTTGCTACAAAAGCCAGGAAAATTTGGCTTGTTTGCAGCTCATTGAGAAACCCCCGTTCTTGATAACAATGTACTGTGTCCCTTGGTCAGTCCTTATCCATATTACACTTTGGTTTTCCTTATTTCTCGTCAAGATCTGCTATCATTGTGTTTTCCACTTAAACTCTACCTTTCTATAGGAAACTAACATTAACTAGCTTTAACAACAACTTAAAACAATTATCTTAAATAAATAAATTCAGAGTTTACAAAAACAAGTAATTGAGTATAATAATGAAGTGTTTTTGTATGGTATTAGTCACGGAGAATATTACAACATGTTCAAATTAAAAATGTATATGTTATTCTTATGGATATTACGTAAACTGGCGTAGTTTGGTTGTTGATGCATATATAGGCCTACTTTGACAAATAAGTTTATTTCACACTTAACTACTAACTTTTCTCAAAAACACATCTTAATTACCTTCTACGCAAACGTAATGAAAGCTCACTATTGAAATACCATTGAAAAAATAACCCAGATATGACTTTTATTGCGTGCGCTTATTAGTTCTTAGTAAAACCATACTAATCTTGGTTTAGTTGCAGACTACATAGCCAGTGTACACATACCTAGCTCAGTATCAAATTTAGTTTATATAGTTTAACTAGCTTATCAAGTTGGTTTGAAATGGAAAAAGTTCCAATCACATTTATTATTTACAGTGTATGTTAAATAGAGAAGTCTGTACATTGCATATTTTTGGTTGAGTTTTCAACCACTGGACCTCAACTTCATTGTACACTTCATTGTTCATTGTTCACTGGGAAATCCATTGTAAACCATAAGAAATGCACACTAATCAATGCAAATACTTTAAGGTTATGTGAAAAAATATTTAAAGGAATCAGCAACAATAGTAATACATAATTGCTAGGCAGCAATCTATTGCAATTCTTTAAGGATATACTGCTTGTATATTTAATAATATATATAAATGTTTTAATTGAATAAGCGATTTTCGGTACTAGGGCTGGAAAAATTTAATTACAACTATAGCTGCCATTTCGACCCTGGACAGCAATGCGTAGCTTTCAGCATCCAATTAACGTCTGTAAAACTACTAAAACATCGTAGTGTGGTGAAAAATATTTGCCAATCATACTCAATTGACTCGGAACACTGCAGTTTCTGATTTAATTAAGGGTATTATTAAAAAGTACTCAAGCAGTAATCAATTAAACAGGGTAACAAATTGAAGGATACATACAACTAGACTATAAGGACGCAAAATACGCGTAGGTACAACTAGTCGTAGGTACAACTAGACGTAGGGACCACTAGTCGTGTTGACCACTAGTCGTAGGGACAACTGGTCGTAGGGACCACTAGTCGTAGGGACAACTGGTCGCATCCGTACAAGCTAGGTAATACTACTTGTCGGTGGGATACACGTCTAGTTGTACCTACGTCTACTTGTACCTACGTCTAGTTGTACCTCCTTAAAATCTGCAGGTACAACTAGTCGGGTGTGCCACCGTCTACTTGTACCTACGTCTAGTTGTACCTACGACTAGTTGTCCCTAGGCCTCGAGGTACAAGTAGACGTAGGTACAACTAGACGGCGGGACAACGAGACGCGGTCCCAAGAAGATGCCCCTTTGAAACCCGGAAAGCTTCAAAGTTTGGAAGCTAAATCCAATCTCCAAATAGAGATTTCTTGTTTTTATATAGTCTACATAACTAGCTGGCCAACCACTAACTCAAACCCCTTAGATTGTGTGGAGCTTGACCACAATGACTAACCAAAGTTCCTATACGAGTGACTCAATATTGATTACCCAAGTTTGAGAGCAAAGAAAGAAGGCATCGAAAGTCTCTACAGCAGACCAGGTCCAAATTTGTACGTCACCTTGCTGGGTTTATATGGGAAGCAGACCCACAAGTTCTGCATAATACTGTGGGCTACTGCCTTCTCCTTGGTGTATTCTGCCGCTAAATACTGCAGCACTATTATGTGGATGGGAACAATTAGTATCACTGTGGAAGTCATTCCAATAACTCATGTTTTTGTAGCAAAATAGAAAAAGTTGATTCATACAAATATCTTGGTATTGTTTTTTATTCAAAGATGAAATGGTTGGAACATGTTGAATATCTAAAGAATAAATTAGGTAAATATATTTATGCTTTTAGGCAACTTAGTGATATTCAAGAAGAACAAGGAATTAAAAATAGCATACTATGCATATGTTCAATCATTGTTGTCTTTTGGAATTATTGCTTTTGGTGGTGCTTACAAAACTATCTTGCAACCTATTTTTGTAGTGCAGAAAACAATACTTAAAGTTGCTTTTAAAAAACACTTAAGTTATTCAACTGAAGATCTTCTTGTGGAATCGGGAGCTTTGAAGTCCGGCAGTTATTTATAAAATTATTTTAGTTCACATTTACAAAAACTTTGATGATATTTTTGTAAAAATTACTTATACCCACAATACACGCTTTTCTCTAAATGTTGGTATAAATGTCCCACAAACTTTAAAATCATTTTCACATACGAATTGCTTTAACTTAACCCAAATCATTTATCGTAACATGTGTGACAGATATCAAAATGTCAACATTCTAAATTCACCCTTTCTCTCTCTATTTGTGAAGCATGTTAATTGTAGGGTGGCTTTTAGGACTGAGTTCAGAGGATTCCAATTTAATTCAATTCAAACAATTTTATTCATGCAATTCTTAAATTAATAAAAAAATCCCATGTGCCATGCAAAGCACGCACGGGATGAAAAACATAAATTTTTATTAATACATTTAATTTTCTTGTTTCTGACAGCAAACAGTTCATTTTCCCTTCTTTATCACTTTTACAGAACAGTGAGTAGACATTTTCTATTGCAACAGTTGTAATCATATAAATAATACTTATGTTATATATAAACAAATTAGAATAAATTTATTAAGAACATGCTTTTTTAGAAAGAGACAATAAATTCTACATGCAAATATAAATAGGTATTTATCTAAAACAAAGCTAAAAATAAGTTACAGATTATTTATGCTATATTACGATTGATAGAAAACAACAAAGATTTTGACTTTTTCACAGTCATTTTATTATTATAAACTTCATTAGCGAACATTTTTAAAAACGCATTAAAACATTTTGGACCAAGACAACAAAACTAATGCCTACTAGTTTCCTTTTTAAAAAAGCTTTCTGCTAACAAGTTATATTGTGCTGATTGAGAAATTCTATTGACAGGTTTCATATTAAACATATACGGATATTTAAAAACAAACATAATCAAACAGTATACGTGCAATTGATTGAAGATTAAAAGCTTTACTTGTTCAAAAAGATAGCTTACTCTATCAGATTTGTTTAAACCAAAAACTGTCCTCAGTGCAGGTCTTTGGTTCATGATGACAGGTTGTAAGGCCCGTCGCCCACTATACGATTTCGGTCGTACGACACTGTTTCGGAACGACAACATTCCAATAGTGAACCATTGGATCTTATGAGCGCTCGCCCACGACGTATGTCGTGCGTTCTCCCCAGTAGTCCTATACCTATATATATACTTTTTACAATTAACTCATACTTCTTTGATTACATAGATGGGATTTTAGTGGACAAAAGTGTATTTATGATGAGATCCTGAAATTTTGAGAGTTGATAGAGCAGCATTTGTTTAGACATCTTTAAGTATAGTGTTCTTAGGTAGTGTGAATTATTACCTTTGTTTTTTTTTATATTTATCTTATCTTAATGGACTGATTCCAATAACTAGAAAGCCCAATCAAAATTCAAGTATTTAATAATGTTTATCTTACACCATTTATTATTTTCTTATACTTACTAAACTTTAATTTAAAACCATTTCACATTTTCTAAAAATGTAATTCACATTTCTTGGTTTACTCAATGTCATTCCTTTGAATGGTATAAATTTAAAATGTTGTATGTACAGCACATATATATATATATATTTATAGTATGTTATACATACAATATGATTTGTCGCAAAAACACATTTGAAAACTTTGAATTATGTGGCTCTAATATAAAAACCCGTTTTTTAAAAGGAACAAGTTATTCTATTTTTAACCTGAAAATTAACTGATTTATTTCATGTTTATTATATTCTTTTTAGATCTGGCCATCTTGACAATATGTCACACAGAATAATGTTTGACCTATTATTTATGATAAAACATATTAACTGATGGATTCATTTTTATAGATAAATTATAGATATTTATTGTACTAGCTTCCACAATGATAGAAATGAATGTGATTCATTGTGAATATTGTGATCCCTCCGTCCCAAGTATTGCTTATTAACAATGCAACATCACCAAGCATTTATGTGATGAGGACATCACTCAGTAAAAAAATGAGGTAATCTGTGAATCCCAAAAACTTCTAGAGCTTCATTAACGACCATCTCGAGTCATTCTAACCGGTTTGCCATTCTGGTTTGTTATGTATTTATCCAAGCTCTGTTTCACGATCAAACATTTTTTTACTGCTTTGCTAATGTTAGTTATTGTTAGTATGTACACCGTTACACATTAAGTTTACCCGTCACTCTGTATCCTCTCTTCACACCTTAATATTATGTGTGCACCTAATACACGCTAGAACTGGGCTCTGTTCCCTGATTATTCTATGCACTGTTGTACAACATGTAATAAAACTCAGTTATTTTGTGCCAACATTTGTAGTTTTCTATTCCTTTTCATGGTAATCAGTACAGTAGTTAAATATTTTTTACTATATATTTCACCAAAGACAAGATAAGATACAGTATTATTGAGGGATAAAAAGTTGTTTTTTAAAGAACCAACCTCTAAGATTGACTGAAATATACTATTTTTAACGTGTTTGTAAGTACAGAATATTACCCAATAAAATTGTGTTTTATTTAGTGTTTACGCTTACACCATCCTTGATTAAATGATTATTAATGTCTAAATACCGGTATGCCTTTTGACTTCAAATTAAATTTTTGCTAGCACTGATTCTATGAATTTTATACTATAATAAATCAGTAGAGCCCTCTCGCTAAGATTCTAAAGGTAATACATTCTTAACTCAGCCCCACTACATGTAATTTACTTGTGGTGCGCATATTCATTCGTAATATTTTAAATAAAAATAAAAACTTGAAATTTCATTCTGGAATGTGCACTAACTGTAGTTTAAAGGATTTTTTAAAAAATGTATTAGTTTCCTAGGTATAGTACTTTTCATGATCAGAAGACTTCTTATTTTGTTAAATTAAATCCATTAAAAGTGAAAGATTAACTGTACAAATTTCCACTGACTTTTGCAGTGCAGTAGTGTCTCTTTAGTCCCAACTATCTGGGACCAAACCCTGTTTGGATTAGTGGAAGTTTGGATTTTGGAATAAGCAGATGATGTACACGGTTTTGCTCTGACCGCAGAAACGATGATGATGTCATTGCAACCAAGGAAGATGATGTTGTTTCCATAATTACTTCAGATTAGATTCTTACTAACATTTAAAAATTATAAAAGTTGTTGAACTTAAGTTCAGAATTGGCAGATTTTTCCAGATTTTCAAAATAGCGGGGTTAGGAATAGTGGGACTTAACTGTATGATAATTTCACCTCATATGCATTGCGTGATTGCCTTTACACATAAGAGTAAAAATTTTGAAACACGTTTTTATGTCCCTGGCCTTTTACTTCGTAGATACTGAATATGTAGTTTATATATATGTTATTTTTATGTTTTAATATTTTTTGGGACGGGGGCAACATGTTACACACAATTATTTGGCTTTAAATAGGTTCTAGGTATTTTTTTTTTTTTTTTTGTATTTTTAAAGTCTTGAAACTCATGACCGTCACGTGTCCCTAGGGTACATTTTGCAACTTTCATGCTGTTTTTAGAATAATTATTCATGCCGAACGAAATATATCATGTCATATTTTTATTACATCAATAGTTATTAAACTTACGAAAAAGGAGCATATGATAATTTTGTTTTCATTGTAAACTGACTACCATGACTAAATAGGTCTGTCCCTTGATTTGACGTCACGACCATTAGGGAAAAATTTGCAACTTTGGAGCACGACAGTGGCAAGCCTGGCGTCGATGGAGTCAGTTGGTTTTAGAGACTAGTTTGGGGTGTACGTCAGGATTGTAGTGCCGGTAGTTTCGAGTTGAAAGGAGGAATTACAAGATTAATAAAGGCAAGTTTGTGTTTTTTGTAACTTTGGTGTGTCCGTGACAACCAAATCATAGTCATATTACCATTCATCGTAGTCATTTGATGAAGTAGACATGGTGTTAATTTTTGTTTATAAGATATTTCAATTGCTAGATTAACCTAGAAGTCCACTTTGTATCCTCGAACATGAGGTGCAGGGCTACCGCCAGAACAGAGCCAAATAACACGTAATGTCACGACCAAAGTTTCACGACCATCGCAGGTTTTTTTTTTCACGACCAATCCAGCCTTATGGATTATACTGTGTTTGGTCGTGACAATAACTTAAATATCATTGTAAATTGAACAGGGAACACATATTTTTATTATAACTAACAGTATAATTGAAGGATTGTTTAGAAAGATTCAGATTATTCCAGACAATTCACGACCGTACGTACCGCTGGTCCCTGACCATCACGTTTATGATTTCTATCATATAAATTTCAAAAATTAAAATATCATATTTCAATGCTTTATACACAAAAGAAGCACACCTCTATAAAAATATAACAATTTTTCGGGTCTCAGGTTATTTCAGAAAAAGTTAAAGTTATTTATTAAAGTTTTTTCAGAGTTATACGAACTTAAAAAGATTTTATTGGCTTTTTTTTAGTTTTTTTTATTTTTTCTAGAAAGACCAAATATACCAAAAGCTTAGTGAGCTGTTTATTGTATAATGGCCCTAAAAGTAAATTAATTTATAGCACAAAACATAGTTATTAAAACAATATTAACTGTTTTTAATATTCAGTTTTATGTCCGTGATGGTCGTGACAAAATTTCAAGTTTTTCCATCAAAGATGCTCTATTAATAAAAAATCACCAAAGATATTGCTAAATATCTTTACCATGTTACCATGGACATTTTATGAACTTCAAATGTAATACAAGCGAAAGGCACAGATACCGTTTGTACTTATGAAGTTTTGAACTAAACATGAAATAAACAAAGAGGAGGTACAACTTTAAGTATAGTATTAAAAGAATTGGGTAACAAAGTAAAACAGACAGGTGTTTAGAATAATATCACGATGAGTTATTGTTGAACATAAGTTAATTATACTAGTATAAAAACAAAATAAAACAAAACATCTATCTGTAGTAAGGCTTTTATAATTAATATACTTGCTGTCAATTAGTAAGTACATTAGGTAAAAGATTCCCTAACACACATAAAAGAAGTCCTACTAAACACACATAACAGATACAGATTTAAAATGACTAGTTGTGATAAACAACACAATACAATTTGAGCAACCATACATTGTACCAATATGTTTATAAAAAATATAACTAATTTATCATGTGTGTTACAATTAGGTGAGATTGTGTTATTCAAAATATTTAGAACTATGTTAAACCACTATTAATGATATCATTTAATTTGTGACCTGGATAAGGGTAGCTATTAAAATCCTAATTATAATTATGTATTTGTGTGCCAAGTGTGGGTTCATAAACAAAGTCTAAAATGACAGATTAACTTCATTTCAAAACATTTCCTAAAAATAAAAGCCATTTGATCCCAAGTAAACAAAATTACTTATGAACAAATAATGTACTATCAACTTCGACTAAATCAATACCACATCAAATTTAACATTTGGGATTCAAGTATTTCCATAAATATATAAAATAAAATCACAGTTTATGGAATGCATAGGTTTAAAGGAAAAAACCTCATTGTAAAAATTAAATTTTGATAGAATGGCTATTGGTTGGAGGTTGTTATTAAAAATAAAAATTGGAAAAAACACATACCTTAGATTTTTTAAGTGCATAACAAGGAAAGTCATATGTATCATTGAAATTTTCATGACAAAAACACTTTTATTTGTTATAATACAAAAATCCCTTGCAAAACCATTCATGACCGAGCACTTACATTTAGTCCTTATTTATGCATGTTAGGATGGGAGGCCGTTCTTTATGTTGATTCGGGACTGTATTAAGTCCTTTGAAGGTAGATTAGATTAGGAAGGTAAAGTTTTGGTTCTTTTGTAACCTAAACTTTACCTTCCTAATCTACCTACCTTCAAAGGACTTAATACAGTCACGAATTAACATAAACGACGACCTCCCATCCAAACATGCCTCTTCTGGCATCAAAAGGAATTTGCTAAGAGTTAGAAGTTTGTTAGGTTACGTTAGATTATGTTTTAACAGATGAGGACCAGTTTTTTTTTAGTTGAGTGCACCATGTATTTTAGGCCTTTTTCCCCTTAAAATAATTTCCCTCAGATCAGGATTTCCCCCACCCAAAAACCCCAATCCCCACCAGTCCCCTAGATGGTAAGGGGTTAGGGTGGGTTAAAAATGATATCCCAATATTTATTTTAGTTGCAATATACAATTTAGGTCTTATTTAAGCATTTTAGTCAAATTTACTTAAAAATCTCATGTGGCCGTAATCTAGAAATTTACCAAATCTTGTGTATATACCACAGTACAAAAATTAGAGTTAAACCCTAACAAGAGGAAACTAACAATAAAGTTCATACTCAGGGTCCCCACTCTAACTTGTAAGTTGAATCAAGGGTTTTCAGAGTCATATTTGCTTATTTTTTACGTTGATGGCTTGGGCCAGGTACAAGCAGATTTAAGGTGGCATCACACCATAAAAAAGTCTTTTGATAAGCAAATAAGGCATTATTAATAGGTGAGATGGCAGTGATGTTGCCTCATACAGTCAACAACCGTCAGCCCGATTCCATGTGGTTCGGATTCCAGACGTTAAGATACTGAATAAAAAACAAACCAGTTTAAAATTACTAGGAAGGATTATTTAATTATTCACAGAAAAATTTTGAAAGATTAATTCAATGGTTTTCTTCATTATAGCAATAATTATAAATTATTTCAAAATTTATCTAAATATTAAAAGATAAAATTTTGAAGATCTAAAAATTCAAAAAGTTTTGTTTGAAGAATTTTGTTATTCGTTGACAGGAATTCAAGTACATTAAATTGAACACGGATGCTGTATGCAGAGTTTACACGATCAAAGATCACCATATAACCATGATAGCAGGAGATGATCTTTATTGCCGTGATCACGAGAGTTGCCTATGCTGTTGCCTTGATCGTTGATCGCATGGGACAGTTCTAGTATTGAATACAAAGTCACAAAATATTTACGATCGATAATTTCACCAGTATCAAAAGTAATCGGACTACGGGCTAGGAGAAGGGCTCTGTTTGGTCTAAAGCAGCCAGGTGAGGAACCAGACGCTAACATTGGGCAAAAGCTCCTGCACCTAGTTAGGGACATAGGCTTACCCAGTTAGTGGCAAGCAGGATGCACAATAAGCTTCGGTTGACGTGCTTGGACCATGAGTCCACCCTCTTACAATCAATCAATCAATCAGAATCAGAATTGGCCCATCTTTATTCAAGAACTAAACTCCAAATTCCACAGTTCAATCCAGGTTTTTTCAGTTGCAAAATTCACAGCTCGTTTTCAAATTTTTTCACAGTGATTGTGGGTACCCTGATACAGTGATACAGTATAAGTACTTTAAAGAGGAAACAAAAACACAAACATTAAATAAAACACAATAAATAAAGCCATATTCAATACAGAGTGATAAAATCAATATCACACATTTTAAAAAGCTGTAATTAATTATTAAATAAAACATAACAGAACCAGATGTTTTTACATTATTCTAAAGAGAATATAGAACGTTTCTATTACAAAACAGCAAATTCTCCAAAATCACAAAACTTTAATGGCTGAAATGGTACAGAAAATGTTCACCTTAGGTGAGACTTTCTCAGAAGTATGAAAAGTGGCTTCTTCACCAAAAACAACCTTTGAGATAAACGATTTGTCTCTTTCTACTGAGAATGTGGATGGAGTTGAGATCGGGTTATTATGAGTCAGGAAGCAGACATATTGAACATTTGCGAGCTTGTTTATGTGATAAAAACTTTTTGTAACTCTTTATTATCATGTGTAAGAATTGGTGGTTCTTTGATCAAACACAGATTTTTAAAATTGTGCTGCCTACTCTTTTTTAATCACCCTGTATATAATATAATGCTAATAAAACACACGACTATGAATCATAAATTAATGCATCTCACTTAAAAGAATTATTTTACACTTAAGTAACAAAAATACAATAACAACTGTTAAAAATTATAATAGATTTAAACATTTAAAGTAACTGATAATATATTATTGAGCGGAGCGAAGCTCTTATACTACACTTCTGCTTTTGTTTACAAATACTCCTCCTGAACAGCTGAAGCGATCTGCACAAAATTTAGCACAGTCATAGTAACCAACCTACCATTGGCTTTGGATACTGAAAAGTGAAAATAGACATTCTATCTATGCAAACCAAATATATCATTGAAATTGGATACGGCAAGTAGACATGTAATTTATAAGAACCAGATGAAACTTAGACTTTGGTTTCTGAAAGTAGACAATTTATTTACGTAAACCAGTCTTATAATTGACTTCGGGTATTGTTAATAGACATTACTCCATTAATGTGAACCAAATACACCATTGACATTGTATACTGCAAGTATACATGCCATTTACGAGAAACAGATGTAGCATTGCCTTTAGAAAAGTATTGGATTAATATGCTAGCTCCGCTCAATATTGCAAGCAGGAAACTGCATTGTACGTACACCTATTTTACCCTGATCCTTTTATTAACAATAAAATAAAATGAATAACTACACTAGATCATAGTACATTCATAAAGCTTAAAACATTATTACAATTATTATGTTTCTTTCCAAAACATTTATTTTATAAATAATCAAATTTGAATTTAATTACTTAGTTTGCAGCTAAGCTTAGTGTATTTAAAGTACCACTACCAGGGGATGGAGCATTGCTCGAGGTGTTTCATTTGTTCAAGAGGCTAAAAAAATAAAATTTAGAAGCCTACAAATATTTTTAGTTTTGCTACGATTAATTAAGTTGTAAAGTCAATTTGTTTTCGGTAGACATCATTATTAATTTACCTTACAAACCTTTTCATGTGGATGAGCAATCTATATTGAAAATTTCTACAATAAACTTCAATATATACATAACATCTGTTGACCGTTATTGCGTTAGTCACTGGGATAGCAGAACGTCACAACTAATTACGAGATCGTGGAACGACACATAAATTCCGTAGGCGCATTGTTGAAAACTAAAAAAACATCCAGCGTCTCCGGAGATACAGCGCACGATGTATTGTTTGCCCAGTTAGTATGGCTCAGGATCTAACCGTGGTAGGCTAGTAAGCATTAGTATTGTGTTTCTAATACCAGTCTATAATTGTGGTGTAGGTTGGTAGTGAATTCCCCTGTAAAATCCCTGTAAGCTTAGAAATCAACCTGTCCCGTTTTTCTCCCTCCAATTGGCAATACAGTGGAACCTGGCAGGGCTGCTATATGTGAGTGTTTCAGCAAACTAGTGACTCTAGTCGTAACGCAGCATATAAGCGCACATTATTTGCTATTCGACAGACCGAAATATTTGAAAGCCAATTGCCCGGCAATCGGGCTCGTTCGATACACCAGGGCTACGCCTGCCATTGATGGGACGCAGCGAATGTGTTAAAGGCACTTTGTTTTTATCAGTAAATAATATTAATAAACATTGCCAAAGATCTATTATTAAATCAATATTTATCAATGTAATGAAGCTTAACAACAATCTAAATATAAATACAGAATTAATACATTGTTTTAGAGTGTTAAGAATTGAGGGTCAACTAAAGTGCATTTTATTCAGATCTTCTGAAAATCATAGTTTTAAGTAATTTCATACAGCTAGGCCTACTTATTAACTACTTTTTTTACTATTTTTTCTAATGCCATTTGCATAATTTATGTTTTTTGTAAGGGAAGGTCAAAACTAGACTCTATTAAAACTAGATTTTGAAACTGGTATCTGTTACTAAAAAGCATCATTAATTAATATCTAAATAACAAAAGAAAGGAAAGTAAGCCCAGAAGCATTTCTCAGAATCAAACCAGTAATCAAGGCAATTGTTATACCTACTCTGTCCGAATTGCATGGATAAACCATAAAATTTCTGATCACTGCGTTTGTGTTTGTACTAACCAGCTGTATGTGGCTCTTCTGTTACATTTATCTCCAAGCAGTGACGGACCCGAAAAATATGTGTAAACTAAGTCTCCAAAATAGCAGTTTTATACCATTTCTTTGTCCAAAGTTAGTGTGACAAATTATTTTACGCAATGTGTATGCACTACTGTATTACATGCAGTTAAAAACATATGTATATGTATGCTCCAAGGGGGGGGCGGTTGCCCCCTTCCCCCCCCCCTCTAGATCCGCCACTGTATCCAAGACTATTTGATATTTTATCCTTTGACTTCAACCTCAAAGGTTATTCGTTGCAGCAATGTTCCACATGTAGTTTAATACATTAGCTTAGAAAACATATCTAAAAATATTTAAGTCCTCATAAGTTGCAATGTTGAGATTTCATTATAGTAATTTTTTCAGCCGGTACTACTAGTACTCCACGGTAATACACTTGACTTTTGTGTACTCATTCAAGGCTTCCTCTCCTAAACAAAAGGAAACATATGTCAGAAGTATTGTAAAAAATTGAACATAAACTTTTCACCATTCAAAACTAGAATACATTTTAGTAACAACCAAATTAAAACTGTAACAAACTATCAAACTATATTTCTAAATATATTGCAAAATAGAAGACATCGCTCAGCTTGAGACCTGGAGGGTTATAAAGTGAAGATCGGCTAGTGGAGATTCCTTTTGAGTGTAAGAAATCACTCAGTTCTTTTGACATGAAAACAGAACCTTGGTTGGAGTGGACAAAAGCAGGCATACCAACCAGGTAGCTCTGCAGGTTCTAAGTAAAAACTCACTCCTATTACATTTAGTAAAATTACAAAACTTAAAATGATTTTTAGCCCTTTTTTGCAATATAGCTTAAATTTAAAAATAAAATTAGTACAGAGCTATATGATCGTATTTAGAACGTATTTTTAACAACCTGGGATTTCTTGAATAATTAGCGAGCAACTGTAGACTTCTGCATAATATTTTGAGATGGTTTAGATCTGTCGTAGAAAGACCAAAAACATTTCCCTTTGGAGTAGCTGACATCTTGAAAACCCATGTTAATTGTAAATTGACGACATGAGACACACTCAGAAGATGACATTTTTTTAAATCATAAAATTTGTAATATCGTTTGTTTAATTTTTATCAAATACTCTCTATTTTTAACAGGTGTGTTTTAAAATAACCTTTAATAGACAGAAGATTTTTAAAAATTGATTCCTTTTCCTCCAAGAAAGTTGTATGTTACATACCAAGATCTTTCCCGAAGCCAGATTGTTTGAAGCCACCAAAGGGAGCAGCCACATCAGTCTTGTTGTAAGTGTTGATGAAGACTGATCCAGCCTCAATCCTCTCAGCAAAGTTTAAAGCACGATTGATGTCCCTTGTAAATATGCCTGATGCCAGGCCATACTCTATGCTGTTCAATCTCTTAATTAAGGAATCCATATCACTGTGAAAAAAAAATAAAATAAACTATGATCACCTCTGTTAAATACCTTATAACATAACTAACTTTGAAATAAAGATTTATTATTAAATCCTACAGTTAAAACTAGAGTCTACAAAATATTTTTTGGAAAAGTAGCATTATTTTTTAGAAAGTTTGAAACAGAAAATAAATTTATATTCATTTGTACAATGCATAAAGGCAATATTTTTAATTTGTTAACAAATTTTAACATATTTTACTTCAAGGTTAGTTTTGTTCAAGGAAAGGGTCTAAGTCAGGATTTTGAATTATTTTAGTAAGGAGGATAGTAGCTAGCTTACCTTGAAGAAGTGTAGGTAGGCCATAGAACATAGAGAAGAGACACTATAAACACAATATTTCGCCCCCTGAGGGACTTTAATAAGTGTAGAGAAAGTGGTTAACTCTTTACAACTTTTTCTACTCTTGACAAAGTCTTCCAGGGGACAAAATATTGTTTGATGGCCTACCTACACTTCAAAGTAAGCTAGCTGCTGGGGCTATAGAATACAGGGGCTGGCTCACGTCTTTGCTGTAGCAATTGCCGACATGGTCCCGTTCCCCCCTCCCTGTGACGTCACTGCGAGGACAGTCGAGCCGATTGCCATTACGCGGCCAGCAAAAATCTTGCTATTTTACACGCTTCCCTACCTTTGTACGATTATATTTTTAATATGAATCTTACATCGTTTTATTCTGCACTAATTGGAGAATTTAAATATCTAAACAGTTTTTAGTTTGAGACAAGTCAATTGGTTTTATAGTTAAGCAACAAACGTAGAGGAGCTAGAATAATGAAAAGTCACTGAGACTGTGTTGCTCTAAATAGTTCAGTCCGCAAGGGTTCCCAAATTTCCAAGGGTCAATTGAAATTTGTTTTTACCTAAACACGGTCGCGAGAGTTTTTGTTTGTAGGAGAAGGCTCAGAACTCCATCCAGACTCGAAGCTCAAAGGTTTATTCTGTAAGGCTCATCATCACCAACTCCTACCTTCTGGGTGTCAGGGGAGCAACCCTGGTTCCTCAAAACAAACAAAATTGAAAGTCAACGTCGAGCGATTGTACTGTGATCACTAACTTCTAACAAAGTCGATCAATTGGTACTAGGTTGTAAGGGAGCGCCCTAGTTGCCAAAACGACTGAAGGTGAGAGTTGACTTCAAGCGATTGTACCTTGATTCCTAACTCCTAACAAAGTTGATCAACTGGTACTGGGTTGTAAGGGAGCACCCTAGTTGCCAAAACAATAGAAGGTGAGAGTTGACTTCAAGCGATTGTACCTTGATTCCTAACTCCTAACAAAGTTGATCAACTGGTACTGGGTTGTAAGGGAGCACCCTAGTTGCCAAAACGACAGAAGGTGAGAGTTGACTTCAAGCGATTGTACCTTGATTCCTAACTCCTAACAAAGTTGATCAACTGGTACTGGGTTGTAAGGGAGCGCCCTAGTTGCCAAAACGACAGAAGGTGAGAGTTGACAATTTACATCAAGTGATTGTGTCCCGATCGCTGTCGGCGAATAAAGTTGATGAAGCGGTACAGGGTGTCACGGGAGCAACCCTGGTTCCCAAAACACTTAAAACTGAGGGTTAACGTCGATTGTGTTTTGATCGCCAATGGCGAATAAGGTCGATGAACTGGCACTGGGTGTTAGGAACCAATTCTTTCTTGACCTTTGTACTCTCTCCACCACACACACAGACCCACCGCAGCTCAGACACAGTCCACTGCCGTTCATCATTACGATTACATCATCCAGCATTACGCTTACCACAATAATTATAAACTCTAAACTAGTAACTTTTATTTGCCCTAGCAAAGATTTTATCGAAAGGAATCTTTATTTTACTGATTATTTTGTGAGAGATACTTTTTAGTTTGTGTTCTTTAAACTTTTAATAAGTGACAGTGCAAGTGTACAATACTGGACAGGATAGAGACGCCATCATGGCCGACCAACAGCAATGAAGATGGGGTACCCCAGCCAGACGCCGCCGATCTACACCTCCACAATATCAACGAAGGTCGGTGAAAGCATTTTTCTATCTCAAAAACCATTAAAAATCAGTATAAATCATATTTCTATTTGCCATAGATTTCATATTAACTATCTAACAAAACAATTTAATAATTTTTTGTTCTGACTCAATCATGATCGATCAACAACATTGGTTCTTGGAACCTGATTTCATTGCCTTCTACTAGCCTGAGAAAGAAATCAAATATTTTACTTTATTAATGTCATTACATTAATACATTTGATTATTATTATCACGTATATTTCAGGGTTTGGTATCTGATTTGTACTCTGATTGTGATTGTGGTAAAAACTTTGTCGGCACTGCATCATCCCTGAAAAGGGGGTTTTGAAGATTTTAAGAATTCCAATAAATAAATAAAAATAATCCTCTCTCCTTGTTTAATATTTCTATAATTCTGAAAAAGGTCAACAAAATATGAATAAGGTGGGTCTCTTTTTTAAACGTTACATCACTAAGCGAGGAATATTTTTATTTTTGGGTTTGGAACAAACTTTCAGCGAGAAAACTATAGTCAATCAGTTCTTCCACATTAATTAAGTTAGCATTTTTACACACTTCCAACAGTTAATTGAAAAATTGTCTCAAAAGACAATTGTTACAAATGATCACTGGCGGGCAATTTTTCCCGCTTACCTCAAAATATTTTAGGTACAGTATAACTAGTACACAAACTAGCGTATTAAAAATTCCATTTACTATTTTGAACCAATAAATTATTTATTTTACTAAAATAAAACCATTACACATTCCTAGAAGCAGAGACTCAATTAAGTGTATTTAGAGAGCATAACAAGGAGTAGGCAGTAGGCCTATACCAAAAAAAAGGTAAGTAATATTTCAAGCCTATACCCTATACTCTACTCAATTTTTAAGATAATAATTTTTTACAATAATATCAAAAATAATGTATTCTTAGCCTTTAATATAATAGACTAACATTTTTTGAATATCATGCTACAAACAACATGGTGTGGGCATGAGCGATGGAACGATGGAATGTGAAGTAGTGTCACTCGCGACTTCGTGATGAATAATAAACAACCTGATGGGTTTATTGAGATTTTTCAGACTAGTTATGGAAATAGAACTATGAATAAAAAATTTTCTCGCTCAAAGTTTGTTCCTATCTAAAAATAAAAAATAAATTTTCCCTTAGTGACTTTTTGAAGTTCACAAGTTTGTAATACTTAGCATTTTTTCGCTTAAACAAATTATTGTTGATCATAACTAAAATAATTTTTGACCATCAGACTCTGTAGTTTATGCAGATTACAACGATATAAGTTTCATACGGACAATTGAATTGTGTAAATGTAGGGAAGCGTGTTAACTAGCAGTATGTATATGGGCCGCACACTAGCTTGACCTGTGGAGTCCGTGCGGTGACGTTACAGCCACACGGCAGTGGAACCACTTTACTCGTCGATGTGCCCCGGCCCCCTTAAAATAGCCCCTGCTAGCAAGCACACGCTATAACAAATTACCAACTCCATAAAGCTACATATGTCACCATACTCCTATGACAAATTACGCAATGTGTATGCACTACTGTATTACATGCAGTTAAAAACATATGTATATGTATGCTCCAGGGGGGGGGGCGGTTGCCCCCTTCCCCCCCCCTCTAGATCCGCCACTGTATCCAAGACTATTAACAACAATCTAAATAGTCAACTGTTAAACTCCAGTTGACAAGGATATACTCCAGTTGTAAGGGTATTATTTACCTTATAATAATAAGGTAAATGTCCAAATGTAGGGACATATGACGGGTAAAAAAGTTGGAAATTTTTAACTGATTTTATGAAAATTTCTATCTTGAATTGGATGTTGAAAAACTAAGTTTTCAATTGATTTCTTATGGAAAACATGTTTTATTTTTCAACAAAATTCATAAAAAAAACGACAACACATTTTAAAAGGTAATTTGCCTTTGTTGATCTTTTTTATAAGATTTTGATGTGTGGAGTGATTCGTCGTTGTTGTTAGGTGAAGTGGCTTATTATGATAGTAATCCTCTTTATTCTACAATTCATCATTTTAATCTTCAAATTAAATCACTTACTTAATCCTCAAGCTGTTTGGTCTTTTAAAACCAGGTATACAATAGATATGTGGTGAAATTTAGTCCAAATAGGGTTTGGGTCATATTGCTTCAGTTATTCAGAATGTTAGGTGTTATGAATAACTTCTAAGCTTTGTAGTCCAATACTTCTTGAAAAGGATATTTTGTAGTCTAATACTACTTTAAGAAAATAATGTTTACTTGCTTAAGAATATTGTCACTTGGATATAATTAGTCTCTAGGAAAATAACAGTTATGAAATCCATACACCACTTTACTCACTTTACTCACTTATATTAATGGTACAGATTAAGCACATAACTTTAGAAACACACACATATTATAAGGAACACACTTTAACCACAAATGCAAATTGTGAACAACAACATGCAAACAAAGAAAAAATTATGATATAACAATACAACAATCAGCTGTTAAATTATCAACACAAGTTTCATATGATTGGATTATGCATATCGGCAAACTTACCGGTTACTGCCATAAATCTTTTAAAAAATCAAACATTCATAATTATTTACAAATCTACATGAATTAAGCTTTCCATTGACCTATTATTTAATCAAATCTGTCAAGTAGAACTGTAGATTCAGTTCTACAAAGCATAACAAAAACATTTATAATTAGTATTTTCTATTGGCAAATTTATTTATTTCATACTATACTATTGACGTTTGGTCAAAAAACACTTTTTACCTTCCCCCTTGCAGCAAACCTAAGCACTCATTAAATCTAATGCTATTTAAATTGGGAATAAATATGTCTTATTTATGGAAATATTTTAGTAAAAATGTAATCAGACAAGTGGAAATTCGCTTAGTCTGCAGGTTTGCTGCGGCGAGGGTATTTTCCTCTTTCACTACAAATGTTTAATAAAATAAAACTTTCATAATTAATTATTTGCAAATCTACACAAATTAGGCTTTTTATTTAACAACACATTTATTGACAAAATTGATCCAGTAGAACTGTAAATTTAGTTGTACAAAGTTTAAAAAAATATCTCTAACTCAGTATTTCCTCCCCACTATAAATTCGGAGGGTGATTAGCTATTTTGCAAATAACTTTTAAATGTTGTGGAAATCGAGCAAAGTGGAAGGGTATATTCTATAAGAGAATATCATTTATTTATTTCTTACAAATTAGTAGGCTACTATGCATTTCTTGAAAAAAAAAACAAAAAAGGCAGCCATAAGTTGCCTAAAATAAAATTTAAAAAACTAAGTTTTCAATTGATTTCTTATGGAAAACATGTTTTATTTTTCAACAAAATTCATAAAAAAAACGAACTTTCATAATTATTTGCCAATGTACACGAATTAGCTTTCTAGAGACCCATTAGTTAACGAAATCAATCCAGTAGAAGTCTAGATTTGGTTGTACAAAGTTTAACAAAAATATCTCTAATTCAGTATTTTCTAACAACTGTAAATTTGGAATCGCTTAGTTTATTTGCCGATAGCTTTTAAATTGTCAGAAAGTCGACCAAAGTGGATGTGATATTTTGAAAGAAAATAAACTTTCCTACAAATTAATACTATGTATTTCTTGAAAATACTTAAAAGGCTGCCAAAAGTTGGCTACGAATTGAAACTTGAAAACAAAAACTTGGAAAAGCAGTTTTTAATGTATTTATTTTATTTTTACTTCTTCACCACAAATATTTAATTAAGTCACACATTTATAATTATTAGCAAATCTACATGAGTTAAGCTGTCCAGTGACCCATTAATTGACAAAATCGGCCCAGTAGAAGTCTAGATTTAGCTGTCCAAATGTTAACAAAAATATCACTCAGTAACTCAGTACCTATTTTCTCACTACTATAAATTCGGAGGTTGCATAGCTTTTTTGCAAATAACTTTTTAATGGTGAGGAGATCGACCAAAGTGGAAGGTGATATTCTAAAAGAGAAGACAATTTCCTACAATTTGATACCGTGCATTTTTTTTAAATACTCAAAAAGGCAGCCAAAATTTGTATCAAAATAAAAAATGTGAAAACCCCCGTTTCCAATGTATTTCTTATGTAAAACATGTTTAAAATTTTGTTTACCATAAATCATGTCAAAAACTCACTTTCCAGTTTCAGTGGAACTCTAGATTTAGTTGTACAACGATTTTTAAAACTGAATTATAAATAAGTAGATATATAATGGATAAATATTAAATGTTTTTTGTCTTATTTATGTCCACCAATGAATTAGATCTATCATCATTACAATGTAATTTAATGTCATAAAAGTTTATACATTGTCTTTCACAATTTTGAAGGATAAATTAAAGACATGAAAAGACAAAGGCGAATAACATATAACATAAGCAGCATAAGGTAAAAAGTAAGCTGAATTTCTACCTGCTTGAAAACTTAGAAACAGCCATAATAGGGCCAAAGGCTTCCTCATTGGCAATAAACATATGATCTTCAACATCACTAAAGATGGTAGGCTGAAAGAAGTAGCCTGGTCGATCACAACGCTTCCCTCCAAAAACTAGTTTTGCTCCCTCCTTTTCTGCAGCTCTGCAGTATTTCTCAAGCTTTTCCAAGTGAGCCAAATGATTCTGAGGTCCATGCTGAGTGTTACGGTTTAGTGGATCTCCCACTACCTAATCATTTAAAGGGGAAAATAATAAAACTTATCTGTATTGGATAGAATGTATTTTTTTACAATATCCGATTTTAACAAACAAGGTCTAATTTGGTTTGGAACTAAATTCTCTATCTTTTTTTATCTGAAAAACAATTGTCTTAATATTATCGGTTTTCATGAAATTTTGGCATTAAAGAATTTAAATTGCTGCCATATTGAAACGGCTTGAGATATTGTAACAAAACTTTGTGAGCTCTTTTTACCTACTAAAATATACATTTATACCAATTTTGAAATTTCTATCTTGAAAAATGCCCAAGATATAAAATAATTCTTAAAAAACACAAATAGGCCGACAATTAGAAATCTAGGCATTTTAGACCCATACTCATAGGCATTTTATGTTTGTCTTAGCCCAAGGAACAAGTCTACAAAATATGTCCAGACAATTTGGAGACACCCTGTATATTGAGTAGGGTTGGAAGACACTCTTTATAATATCTATACAGGGTGTTAAAAAAAGGTGGGGACATATTTTACCAAGTGGTTCCTTAGGTCAAAATAAAGAGAAAATCAAGAATAAAATTCTTTCCAAAGTCGCTTCGTTAATCAGATATCCGCCATTTTGTATTTTTTACATAAACATTTTTATCTTATAATATTTTCAACCGATCTTTATGAAACTTGTTATGTATGTTAAGGTAGAAGAGACTCGTGTGAGGAAAAAAAATTATTTTGATTAAACCCAAAATTTCAAAATGGCAGCCATTTAAAGTTTGTAAACCTAAAATTACTCAAAAATGGCTGATTTTATGAAAAAATGTCAACAACATTTTTATTTAGCATTTTTAATCATCAAACGATACCAAGTTTAAAAAGATTGATAAATAAATAGCTGAAATATTAAGATTTTTAGTTGTAAAATGGGGTAGAATAAGCTAGGCAGAAGCTGGTTTGCCCCCATTTTACAACTAAAAATCGTAATATTTCAGCTATTTTTTATTCAATATTTTTGAACTTGGTATTGTTTCATAGATAAATAAAAATGATAAATAAAAGTGTTCTTAAAATTTTTTCATAAAATCAGTCATTCTTGAGTAATTTAGGTTTACAAATTTTAAATGGCCGCCATTTTGAAATTTTAGGTCGAATCAAAATGTTTTCTTTTTCTAACTTTTTTCAATTGATCTTTATGAAACTTTGTAACGGGTCAAAAACTACCGTGGGGTAATATCCAAAATAATCAACTCATCCTAAATACGTTGATTTGTTTCACGAAAAGGCAGCGACGAACGCTGGACCTAATGACGTCATATGGAGGGGATGACATAGTTCTCAACCCCGACGCCAGAGGCGGTAGGAGAGAACCGCTCAAGTAGCGCCCCGGGGCAGTCAGTCATCCTTCAAGTACCATTTCCAGTACCATTTAATATAATTATTTGAAGTTATATTTCGTATTTCATCGATTACGCATGTTCAAGGCAGGATTCTACGCACACGAGTAAGTGTAGATTCTATCTTACACAAAGCTTTGGTGGTTACCAAGCATTATAACCGTTTTATTATTTCAATTTGTGTTATAAACACCACGTTGTATCGACCGATTAAAATTAGTAATTATATAAAATGGTAATGGCAAATAAATAAATAGAGCATTAACGCGTGGCTCAACACTTACCAGTGTTTGTATCGTCTTGTGATTTTAATATCGGCTATTGCCAGATATTGGTTTGTAGGAAAGGTTTCGTGGTTGAAGGACGACTGACTGCCTCGGGGCGCTACTTAAGCGGTTCTCTCCTACCGCCCCTGGCGTCGGGGTTGAGAACTACGTCATCCCCTCCATATGACGTCACAAGGTCCAGCGTTCGTCGCTGCCTTTTCGTGAAACAAATCAACGTATTTAGGATGAGTGTGAAATATTACCCAATGGTAATTTTTGACCCGTTACAAAGTTCCATAAAGATCAATTGAAAAAATTAAAAGATAAACATTTTTATGCAAAAAATGGCGGATATCTGGTTAACCAAGCTATTATGGAAAAACTGTATTCTTGATTTTCCCTTTATTTTGACCCAAGGAGTCACTAGGTAAAATAAAAATATGTCCCCACCTTTTTTAACACCCTGTATCATAGCACCAATATGTATAATCGTAATCGTGGAATTATTTAATATGAAAACTAGGTATAATCGAGATATGCATTTTATGGTGCATAATGTAAGCTGTAACTCACTAAAACCTTAGTGAAAATAATTAGGTTGAAGATTCATTTTAGCTTGAAGCCGATTTTGAAAGACATAAATGTGAATTTATACATCCACCACCACAAAATTATGCAAGAGAATATGTTTGACATTTGACGACTGAAGAGAAGATTTGAAAATGGAGTTTTAACCCCGAAACTATAGTCATCCACGACAATAGAGGACTGATTGACGACAGGTTAGTAACCTCATTTTATGTCATAAATGTGATGCTTGAGTTTGTTATAAAAAATATTACTTCTGGCCTAGTGTTGAAACAATAACATCACTCCATACAATCATGCTATAATTGTCGTCAAGTACCACCATCAAGTTGTACCTACCTCTAGTTGTACCTCATAGACCTAGGGACAGCTAGTCATAGGTACAACTAGACGTAGGTACAACTAGATGTAGGTACAAGTTGACGGTGGCATACCCAACACGTTGTACCTGCAGATTTTTAAGAGGTACAACTAGACGTGTATGCCACTGACAATTAGTGTCACCTAGCTTGTACGGATGCGAACAGTTGTACCTATGTCTAGTTGTACCTACGTCTAGTTTTTCCTACGACTAGTTGTACCTACATCTAGTTCTACGACAGTTGCCTACGAATAGTTGTACCTACGCGTTGTTGGCGTCCATATAGTCTAGTTGTATCTATCCTTCAATTCGGTACCCTGTTTAATTGGTTACAGCACGAGTACTTTCAAATGATACCCTTAATTAGATCAGAAACTGCAGTGTTCCCAGTCAATTGAGTAGGATTGACAAATATGTTTCACCGCAATACGATGTTTTAACTGTTTACAAAAATTAATTGGAGGCTGAAAGCTACGCATTGCTGTCCAGGGTCAAAATGCCAGCTGTCGTCGTCATTAGGGGATCGAGCAGGTCCTTACGACCCTAGGGCCGAAAATCAGATGTTTGCTTATTTACTTAAAAACATTAATATAGCCTATATTAAATATACAAGCAGAATATCCATATGAATTGCAACACACTTTTTTAATTGCCACCGCTGCCTAGCAACTATTTATTTTTTTTTTTGCTAATTCCTTTAAATATTTCTTCACATAACCTTAAAGTGTTAGTTGTGTTGATTAGTGTGCATTTATTGTATACTAGAAGTATACTACAGACTCCTCTATTTTCACCCAACACTGTAAATAAAACATGTGATTGGAATGTTTTCCATTTGTTTTGATTTTCTGTTTATATTTCGTTGTTATTTTGTCACCAGCATAGCAACCCCAATGCTAATTAAGATCCATGTTAATTTTTTTAAATTTAAAATTAATTTTTGATGTTTATTTTTTAGCCTATTTTAATTTACGAGAAAGGGATTCTGTAGATCGACAGGAAAACATTTTTCTAACCATATGCGTAGATTTTCCCTGCGGTGAAAAAAACAAAAAACCTTTTCTGAGATGAGAGAAAAGGTTTTAAAGAAACATGCTTGCCTATTAATTGAGTGGAGTGAAGCGAAGCTCTTATACTACACTCCTGCTTTTGTTTTACAAATACTCCTCCTGAACCGCAGAAGCAATCTGCACAAAATTTAGCACAGTCATAGTAACCAACCATGGGAAGGTATAAATCTGAATTGGTACAAATCGGACCACAGGACTTATCCCTACGTGAATTTAAACATTTGGAAATTCAACATGGGCCTTATGGGTTAATTGGTTGCTATGACATTCTTTGCCAGAAAACAATAAAAAGGTAAACAAGAGCCGCAACATATGTTAGTCAACGAATCATCTAAATGGCACGTTACACAGGGGTGCCCATCCCCCCCTAGACTCATGACGCACCCCCTCCCCAGTTGAGCACCAGCCCCCCCCCCCCACCATAAATGAGGTGCACAACCAATGTAAAACATTATTCCCCCGCCCAGTATTATTTGTAAAACTAAAAGAAGATTTATAGATTCATAGATTTTTTTTATTCAAAATTCAAACCCAGGTAATTATATAAATAAATACTAATAACTATATAAATAACTATATAAATAAAGTTAGAGTTTTGTCTGTACATTGCTCAGAATTATACATATTTTGGGTTATTTTTACGTTTTATACATTAAAGACATTGAAACATGTCTTATCTCAATTTATGTCTGTCTTCAGTATGATAAATATTTTTGGGCATCAGTCACCTTATTGAAATCAGGAGAACACAGTCCTTGTCATATCACAGTTCATTACACGTACACACTGATAAAAATACAAAAATAAAAATAAAACTACTGTAAATATAAAATCACAGACTAAAGTTCTCAACTCCAACGTTTCGCCGCACCAATAAAAACGTGCGGCGTTTTCAAGGTTATTTTGTCTTCTCACGTAAACGTTGTGAGCGCCTAACCACGACTGTGTTCTCCTGATTTCAATAAGGTGAGTGATGCCCAAAAATATTTATCATACTGAAGTATTGACCTCACCTAAAATACCATGACGTTTAGAAATAGAATTATGTCTGTCTGTCACAGCCCAGAAGGCATTTTACGCAGCCTACTCTAAAGAAAACTAGAGTCCCAATCATGATTCCAATGGTTTAATTGTATTCACAGGATTGGCGAGAATGTCCTTGGACATTAAAATATGGCTTCACTATTTTGGAAAAAAAATAACAGACGATCAAATCCCAATTATGTGCGATTGTTTTCAAGTTTGTTTCTCAATGTTTACTACATACGTGATTTATGAAATACTTATACTAATAATCTGTTAAGAGAATACGGCATACATGAAATTACAAACAGCTGTTTGGATAAAACTTCCTTTTTCTAGCTGTCAACGATATGTTTACATAAATTAATGTTGTTTACGAATCCTTAGTAGGCCCTAACAATTTCCGATCACGTTTGTAAGCAAATCCGAAACCGAGTGAGATTAATAACCGTGTGACTTACATAACGGGTTTGATTTATCACGGGTACTTATATGTAACTGTAAATTAAATTAAAAAACTAGCCATCATCTAGATCGGGAACCGGAGATTCTGTGTGTATCAAGTTGTTCTTGAGTTTTGATTACAGGGAAAAAGACTGTGAATCAGTGTTGTACAGTCCACTAGTGTTGATACAGGACTGGGAAACTTATCTTTCTATATAAATAAAATTAGAGTTTTATAAGTAAACTCATTTTAAGGAATTTTTTATTACCCGAATATCTACATAGTGTTCATAACCTCTTTTTAACGAATTGTCAGCGTCTTTCTCTTGATATAACGACCCCCTCTCCCACATAATCGTTTTGGAAACATCACAGCTCCTTTGGTGAAAATGAAATGGAAAAAATTACTTCAAAGCTTGCCCCAACAATCGCCTGCTCCGATTTACACTTCTGTCTGCTGTGCGCTATCATGTTACAACATATTTCAGATACAACAGCTGGGGAATGATGCTCTAACCTAATTCTGCTCGATCCGTGGCGCACAGACGTAGGGTAATAAATTAAATAATTAACTAACACTCCGCCGAGGAGGTTGTGAACAGAGTCTCGCAAGGAGCTATAACTATGAAACAAAATCTTGCCGTTGTTGTACGCATATGATGTGGGATGGAATCTGCGCTGGAAAATTGCTCTGGAGCGAGTGCCTCTCGGGACAATAAGGTCAATGTTGAAAAGCAGATCGGGGCTATCCAGAAGACTATTAACCAGCTTGTACAGCACCACAAGATCAGCCAGTCTACGTCTTAAGTGAAGAGGTTGGATACCAAGGACCCTCTGAAGTTCTTCAATTGGTACATCGGTATATGCATAACCAATCCGTATACCCAACACCTGAATGAAGCGAGCTTGGATTCGAGACAGCAAATCAATATGACCCAGCTGTTGAGGCGACCATACCACAGAGCCATACTCCAGTATTGGACGGACCAAGGTCTTGTACAGCAAAACAAGTGACCGAGGATCTAGAAAGTTCCTAGTAGACCTGAAGAAAAACCCCTGAAGTGCATGCGCCCTTGATTTGATGTGGACAATGTGATCAAAGGAACTGAGTGAAGGCGTCAAGAATATTCCAAGGTCCTTCACTTTATCCATAGATGGAAGAGTGCTCCCATTGATGTAGTATTCCGACTTGGAGGATGTTCATTCCTCTCTTGAATATCATAACCTGGCACTTAGATACATCTAAGTCCATGGAGTTGTTTTTGCACCATCCAACGACATTACCTATGGATCTCAGAAGGTTTTCTTGATCAGACACGGAGTGGATTTCCGAGAAAATCTTTATGTCGTCAGCAAACATGAGGTAGTTGGTGGTCAAGACCGTTCCAATATCGTTGATGAACAGATCAAAAAGTAGGGGTCCGATGTGAGAACCTTGGGGGACACCAGAGATTACAGGGAATGGTTTAGAAGTAGCTCCTTCACACTTAACGATGAGATATCTCTCCTTCAAGTAGCTCTCCACCCACCTGAGCAACGAACCACCAACACCATAGGCAGCCAGTTTTGCTACCAGAAGGCGATGTTGAACTCTGTCGAAAGCCTTAGAAAAGTCCAAGTACACGCAGTCGACCTGACTAGAGCTACCGAAGGCTGACATAACAAATTCTTGGAAACACAGGAGATTAGTGATGGTTGATTTTCCATCAAGAAAACTATGCTGCTCAGGTACAATGTACTTCTTGAGGTTGAAGTATAAATGTTCCAGAACAATATTTTCAAAACCTTAGCAATCGTAGGTTGAATCACAATAGGTCTATAGTTCATTTCTATGTATGTATATGTATATGTTGTTCATTTCTATATTTTTCATTCTATTTAAACTATATAAACTAAATATACCGAGTTAGGTTGGTCAGTGTACGCTGGCTATATAGTCTGCAACTAAACCAATATTAGTTTTATTAAGAACTAATAAGCACGCACAAAAAAAAATCATATCTGGGTTATTTTTCATCAGGTTTTCAATATTGAGGTTTCATTACGTTTGCGTTGAAGGTAATTAAGTAGTGTTTTTTGTGAAATGTTAATAGTTAAGTAAGAAATAAACAAATTTGTCAAAGTTTATACAAGCATAAACAAACTACACCAGTTTACATATTCTACATAAGAACAACATAGACATTTTTAATTTCAGTTTTTTTTTATTTTCTCTGTGACTAATACCCTAAGTAGACGTAGGTACAACTAGTCGATAAAACTAGTCATAGGTACAACTAGATGTATATATGTATGAGGTACAAGTAGACGGTCGCGTACCCGACAAGTTGTACCTGCAGATTTTTAAGAGGTACAACTAGACTTAGGTACAACTGGATGCCTGTCACACTTTGACGCCAAAATGCAGCAGGTACATCTAGACGCCGATACAAGTAGACAGTGAGCCGTATTGTCACACATAAGTCAACTCACAATTTTTTTTGTTTCCTCCACCACCTTTTGCAGGAATTCATCATGAATACTTGATTCAACAAAAACACGTCCTGCAGCAATACAATTCTCACCCTTGTTGAAGAAAACACCACCCATACTCTGAAAAGATGACAAAAATATGAAAGAAACTATGGTGTGGATTAAGGTAAGAGTTTACGTTATCTATTTGATTATATAAGCAATCCAGAGGCTGAAATGATTGATAACCTGTTGCATTACATAGACTGACGATTTCCTTGTTAAGCCCCAGTGGTGACATCATGGTTCTTTGCATAAGCCTTCTAGATATTGCTGACTTGGCAACATTGGGATATACAGTATCAATCAATCAATCAAAATAACTTTTTTGTATTGCACATTGTGTACAAAATGGAGTCAGTTATAAAAACACAATATTAAACCTAAGACTACTTACAGAGAATGTTGTTATCAACAAATCAAATTTCAGGAAGTTGAAAAAATCTTCTAATTTATACAAGGGTCTGTTGGTGAGAAATAATTTCAACAGTTTTTTAAATTAATTAAAATTAGTTATATTTTTTATATTGTCAGGTAAGCTATTGAAATATTTAACACCACTATAAGATGGGATTTTTAATTTTTTGTTAATCGATAAATTATGTCTGTTGAACGCCAATTCACTACCTTTTCTGCTTGAATACTTATGAAAAGAGTTCAATTTTGGCAATCTTTCATGGTTTGATTTAATATGAAGGGCTATTTGATAAATGTAAAAGCTACAAACAGTCATAATTCCTACAGTATTTCTTTGAATTGCTCTTTTCTGAAGTTCCTGAATGCTATTTAGGTTAAAATTTGATGTGCCCCCATAAAGACACAACCCAAAAGAAATGTGTGATACAATTAAGAAATGATATACTATTTTTAAGGTTTTTAAACTAATAAATTTTGACATCTGTCTTAATGCATATATGCATGAGTTGAATTTATTACAAACGTTTTTAACATGACTGTCCCATTTGAATTTATCATCTATATGCAATCCAAGAAATTTTATTGTTTTAACTTCATTTAATAAATTTGTATCCATAAAAATATTAAACTCAGGTGAATTTTTGCTCGTTGAAGAAAAAATTTATATACAGTAGACTCCCTCTTATCCGGACTCCTCGGGACCGAGGCCAGTCCGGATAGTGGGTTTTCCGGTTAAACCGATGCCCCCAAAAACTTGTTAAAACGAACTGTTTACTGCGATATTCGACTTAAATTTAGGAGAGCATTGTATTAAGACACGTGATCACTGGTCTCAAATCTTTCCCACGAGAATAGTCGTTTCAGTATCGCCCACTTCCTGCCGATCTAGTCCGGTTAAACCAATGTGCTGATAAAAATTGTCTGGTTAAAGAGATGTCATTTCCGCCGAATGTAGTCCGGTTCAACCGATGTCCGGTTAAAAGGTGTCCGGATAAGAGGGAGTCTACTGTAATTAGTTTTTATTGGATTCGGTAATAAATTGATTTCATTTAAATATTGGTTACATTTGGTAAGCTCAACAAAAGAAGAGACTTCCAAATCAGAATTTGAATTACCGGATATTTTTATATTGATGTCATCAGCAAATAAACAAACACTATTGGGAGATTCTATCAATGAGGGGAAGTCAGTCAAGTAAATTAAGAATAATAGGGGCCCCAATAGCTCTCCCTTTTACACTGTTACATTTAAGTTTTTCAAGAAGTAAATCATGTGAGACACTATCAAAGGCTTTTGTTAAGTCCAAGAATATTCCAACTACTTTTACTTTTTCCTTTGAATCAATTGAATTAATTATAGATTCACAGAAATCGACTCCTGCGTCAATCACAAACCTTCCTTCTCTAAAACCATATTGTTCCTCATCTATTAAATTATTTTCCTCTAAGAATTTTGAAAGTTGTGTATGCATAACTCACTAAAAAAATTTGACAATGAGCATAACAATGAGATAAGCCTGTAATTACACATTTCCTTTGGGTTACCATTTATATAACAAGGTTTAATTTTAGATTTTTTTAATTTTTCGGGGATTATAAGAACGTATATAACAACATAATAACACTAACATAAATTATGTATAACTTCTTGATCTATAACAAACTGTAAGAGGCAAACCCACAACATCACCCCTCGGTTTTATAGTATGTCATGCTACAACCTGGGCCACCAACTTAACTTCAAAGTCCACCAACACAGCTGGATACAAGGAGGAAAAGTCAACGTACCCACCAAGTGTGAATCACCTTCTATGATTAGATTTCTTAGTTCTAAGATGTCAGTTCCTATTAAAGTCCATTACCAGTGAACAGTTTTGTATGGAGAAGGTCGGGCGGCGGTTTTTCATTACTCTTGTTTAAGGCATTGAAGGAAATTTTGAATGTGTTGCAAGTTTCAGATTGCAGTGTGACTGTATGAGAGATTGCTGAATTGATGGGGGACATTAATAAGACTAATGTAAGATACCCTGATAACCTTCATTGTCTTGCATTTTGCTATCTCCTTAAACCATTTACCTACATTTTTCACACCAATACACGTTTTCTTGCATTTATCCGTTAACCAGCAATAAGAGTTGATCTCTCACTCATATAAATTAATACACTGCAGAACATAGTTTGTGCTTGGTGGGAGCAATATTACTAATATTTCATTCCAATGTTGTCGGCTACTTTAACAAAACTGAGATTCGTATGGTTGTAGAAATCCACCTGGATAGTAGTGATGAAGTAAAGGCACTGGTAATAGATTTGAACTAGCTTGCTTCATCAATCACTAAACACTTTAATTTAGGACAACCTTTATTAGTTACCTACCTTTGTTTATTACTACAAGGAAACAAGTAAAGCCTGTTTCATTTTGAGTTGAGGCGGGTTACCTGACCAGGACAATGGCTAAACCGACCCTCCCGAAGCCCAAGCAAATCCCATTAAGTTACGCCTCACTGAATACACCACTTAAAAGTGGAAATATAATGAATTATTTAATTATTTATATCTGAGAATAGTGATTTATAAACTAACTATCACAAAACAAATATTTTCCCCAATTTTAAGTCTTAACAAAAACTATATTTTTTTTCTTATAACAGAGCACAAAATTTAACTTAAAACTAAAATGTGTCATTCCCCTATTGGGTCTGATAATGATTGGAGTGTCCAATCAAAATCGATCATCACTTACTACCTCTTATGTATACAGGGTGATTGATATAAGTGTGCCAGCCGTTTTATTCGGAAACTATAAGAGATATCAAAAAAAGTTAAATGGTAAGTGCCTTGGATTTTTTATTTAAAAAATTATAGTCAAGACCAAAAAATTATTTTAGCCGCCATTTTTCCAATATGGCCGCCAACTTTGATTTTTCTTATGGAACAGCCTGTATTTTATGATGTATTCTGGTAGAAAAAGTAATTTTAAGACGATTTTATTCTTGTCATTTTTTTTCATAAACCTAACCGTTTCAAAGATAATAATGGTTTAAGTTGTGAAATTTTGAATGGTTTTCGAACAAAACAGCTGGCATGCTTGCTTAGGCCTTTATCGAAACTCTTTCTCATGCAGAAATTTCAAAACTTTAACCATTATTATCTTTGAAACGGTTAGGTTTATGAAAAAAATGACAAGAATAAAATCGTCTTAAAATTACTTTTTCTACCAGAATACATCATAAAATACAGGGTGTTCCATAAGAAAAATCAAAGTTGGCGGCCATATTGGAAAAATGGCGGCTAAAATAATTTTTTGGTCTTGACTATAGTTTTTTAAATAAAAAATCCAAGGCACTTACCATTTAACTTTTTTTGATATCTCTTATAGTTTCCGAATAAAACGGCTGGCACACTTATATCAATCACCCTGTATTTACCTTCTTTTGGGTTAACAGTATATGCGTAAATATATGTTTTAAGTGTTATTAGACATATCTTTTATTTACTTTCTGTAAAAATATGCAGTCTGTGTCCATATATTTAAAGTTGCTTGATTTATATGGGATAGACATGAAAACATTTTTTCAAGATAACTTTAGAAGAATTCATTATTCTGAGATATGATACATTTATTATATTTCCAAATATTCAGTGAGACGTGGGTCTAATTGAATTCACTCAGAGAGTCAGAATGGTCGCCCGAGCCATTGTCCTGTTCTACCCTCTTGGTCAGGTAGCCTGCTTCAACTTAACACAAGACAGGTTTGGTATTAAATTAGTATTTAAATACTTAATTATATAATCGACAAACTAGTACAAAAATCAAATGGGCATTCACATTTTACTTTACAACAAAGATTTGATTCATCATAACTATATACATACCAGTCTAACACTTTTATCAAGGTCAAAATCATCAAATATTACTAGTGGAGATTTGCCACCAAGTTCCAATGAAACTTTTTTTAAATTAGCAGCTGCATTTTTCATCACTTTTTGGCCTGTTATTGTGCTGCCAGTAAATCCAACTTTTCTGATATCTGGATGATTGGTGATGGCATTACCCGTTTCAATTCCTGTAAAATTGTCACTATGATATTATTTTAAAAAATGACTATAAAAGTTACATGATGGTATATGTATACAATTTGTCTAATACATTTATTAACCTGACAGAGCTGACATGGAATTAAAACATGAGGAATTCGTTAGAGTTAATTCACCATTCAGACATAAATGACAGTCATTTTTTTAAAATATTCTGGGTAAATTAAACAAAATTTGATACCTATAAAATTGTTAGGCACTTGAACGGTTGTTCGTTGTATCTGAGCCATCTAAGGTGTTGTCTCCCGGCCAGAAGAGGAAACGATACGTTGAGGGATCAATCTTATCTTGGTTATCAGTTATTAAGTGAAAAAGCAAATTGGAAGTTAACCTATCTAAGACAATGCTAATGGTTTGCCCACCTACAATTCTTCCAATTGCATAGCCAAAACATAAAAGTAGTTTGTAACAACAGTGTTTAATTAAATGCACAAGAAGGAATCAGTGTTACAGTCGATATCTGTGTACAGTACTTGGTATCAAAGTCCTGGCATTTAATGGCAAAACAAAAGTCCAATTCTGAGCAAAAACTATCTGGATGTATAATTCACTAATCTAATCTACTTTTAAAATTGTTATTTGTTTTCATGTTTTTATAGGATAGTAAAATAGTTCTGTCATTGAAAATCTTGCCAGTTGTAAGGTGGGCTCCAGCTGATTTTTACTTTCCACTGCATATTATGTGCAAGCTCCTGTAGCTGGACGCGTACTGAGCGTAGGAACGCTCTGATACTAAGATGGTGGCGATAGCACCACTTTAAGCGGCACCAATGAAAAACGTTTGTTACTTAATCTGGACAGCCCTTGTAATTGCCTTTGATGAAAATATTCAATTCTAAGCTTAGGTATCTAGATGTATCTTGTTGATTGCTACGAATGTAAAAGAGCAGTACAGGGAGGCAGACTTGGACAAGACCATGGAAGACAAACATTGTGATGTTTGTTTAAAATTGTTCAGAGTAAAGAATCATGGACATGTTGTTTTAAGGAATAAATTAAAAACCTTAAACTGCAATTCTGCCGTCTTAAAAAATACCTGTGCCAGGTAGAATGTTGATCACTCCAGGAGGGAAGCCTGCTTTGACGGAGAGTTCTGCAAACTTTAGAGCTGTGAGGGGAGACTGCTCCGATGGTTTCATCACAACAGTGTTCCCAGCAGCCAAGCATGGAGCCATCTTCCAGGAGAGCATCATGAGAGGGTAGTTCCAAGGTGTTATTAGTCCACAGACCCTGAGGCAAAACTACAAAATTTATTGTTTGTTCCAAATTAATTTTTAGTGATGGTAAGTTGTTATTTGAGGTTGCTATAAAAAAAATTTCTATTACCAAGTTTGAACAAGGTAAAAAATTCCGTTGATTTTTACACTTTTTGGCGGTGATCCGGAAGGTCGCTGAGGTTGAAAATTTTGATTTAGTTTCTCGGTACCATGACATACAACACAGAAAAAATAAACTAACTACCCCATTTCATGCAAGGTAAAATGCACAAGGTTACTGGATTATTAATTAATGCTCCTTTTACTTGTTAATACAAGACCAAAGATAACATTCCAAAATGAATACCGTTTAGCTAATTGTGTGACCATAATATAGGTACAGTTTAGGTATTTGTTTAATTCCAGACAATTTCCTCTGGTGCGAACTTAAGTTGTCTAGGCTAAAGAATACAAATTACTATCTAAAACGGCAGTAACAAACAATGTAAAAAAATATTTAAAGACAGTTTAACAAAACAAGATAAATAAAAAAGCGTTTGGGTTATGTATTTACAGGGTGTTAAAATTCAATATTTCGGGCTTGTAGGCCAGACTCGGCTCGGCTTGAAAAACATGATGCTTAGTAAACAATGTAGGCTTACTGAGGTGTCAATGTCATAATGCCATGCAGTTAGTACTTTTCAGGGGTGCCCATCCCTCCTTAAGGCTTATGATGCAAATCCCCCCTCCCCAAAAAAAAAACTGGTCAAGGCATAATCCCCCACATCAGTATAGAGTTCTAGATCTACTCCGTGTATCAAGTGTCACTTTCATTGCATATACATTTTAAAACCAACGAAAAACAGATACAAACACATTGGCTCAATAAAAAATATAAAAATGATTGGTCCACAACCCTTTTGTGGCATTTTTCAAAAATTGCATGCTCTTCTATTGTGTCATGGGCCAATGAAAATCACCGTAAACATTGGATTAATACTCCCCTTCAGGGTTAGCAAGCTTACTCTGCTTAGGCCTCCTAAAAGGGTTGCCTCTGACTTTTTGGGACTAGACAGGCAAAGAATTAAATTAACAATAGAACTTATAACTGGCCATGGGGGATTCAGGAAACATTTATAACGGATGGGCTTATTTGATGGTGAACCGATCTGTAGGCACTGCGATAGGTCAGAGGAGACAGCCGATCACCTGCTCTATGATTGTGATAAGCTCTCTGACGCTAGAAGGATGACTCTTGGCAATGTGGTAAGAGGTAGATATCTTCCCGAGGAGGAACTAATTGGAAGACTACAGGCTTTCATCGGATGCCTGAATTTGTAAGGTCTATCAATGAAACAACTGTCTGGGGTGCGCAATAATTAAACTTTACGGATGAAGTGCTTTATAGTCTTGGCCTGCCCCTCTTAGATAAGATAAGATAAGGCACTCAATTTGTACAAAATAGCTCTTCCCCCCAAAACCTTTTAAGACCTACCCAAAAAATCCCCCCAAGAAATATTTGTATGACACACACTGCCATTCCCCCATAGGAGTGGGCATCCCTGGTACTTTTATCTAGAATCATAAACCTTTTGCTTTCAAGTATAAACATAGTTAACCTGTATCATAAAAGTACCATTTTATCTTGTCTAAATTGGACAGCCATAACTCCATAATTTGGAGGCTATAGCCCCTCTGTGGATCTCCCACTGCAATAAACATCAAGTATGATTATCATTTCAATAAATAAATACGGCACTTAAAAATATACTAAAATAATACCCCCGCCGCAGCAAACCTGCAGACTAAGCGAATTTCCATTTGTCTGAATTGATTTTCATTAAATAAAGGTTTAACGAGTTCCTACCTAGGTTTGCTGCTACAAGGAAACTAATAAAGTGTGTTTCTTTAGTAAAATATTAATAGCTTAGTATAAAATAAATAAATTTGCCACGTTTGATCAAAATATATCCATAAACAAGCAAACTACAACATTTTACAATATGCTCCATAAGAATAACATAGGAATTTTAAATTAAAAATTTTTTTTAATTTTTTCCGTTAACAATAACCGAACAAAAATACTTTTATATACTAAATTATTTGTTTTTTTAAGCTCTTTAAAAAGGTCTAAAGAGAAATTGGGAAATTTTGTGTTTTGAGGGTCAAAAGTGAGATAACCTATTTTTACCCCATAAAACCCCCCGTAAAACCCTGTTCCCATGGTCCGATCATGCTGGTTCGCGAACTCATTCAAGTTTATCCCGCTTTACACCTTTAAACCAAATTTCATCAAAATCGGACAAAAATTACTCAAGTTATCGCGTTCACGGAGACACATATATATATACATACATAAAAATTTGAACGAATTGTGTTTTTGGCCTCTGGGGACATCAAAATGAAAAAGTAAATCGGTCCCGGGCCTAGGTCTTACCATGCCACCTACGGTAATAGCTACTGCCCTATAGGGAAATTCGCTAATTCCCTATAGGGAAATTCGCTAAAAGGTAATCTAATGTAAATACTAATAATAGTGTGACTGCAAATGGTCATAATTAGAACAGCAGTGTTATAACAAATTCCAACAAAAGGTATTTGCTGCAACTCGACTAATCTCACAGTCTGAGCGCTCTTGCGCTATCGTTTTTGGACTGAATTTGTCAACAGGCTGCATTTAAAACTTATAATAGTAATAGTAGTTTAAGCAATGATTGCGTAAAGATATAGTCCAGTGCAATTAGGTTATGACCCGGACAAAATTGATAACAGGCTGAAAATTGGTGGAAATGTTCAAAACAATGTCCTGAGTGGCCCACACAAAGTCCCAAGAAATCCCAGTTGGGGAACGGCCGCCATTTTGAAAAAACTGCCGCTATTTTGGAAATTTAGATTTTTTGCTGTATCTTTTGAAGTAATTGTCCTAAAGACCTTATTTATGTCTCAAATTAAACGTTTTGGGCTCATGTATGAGGGTAATATACAATTAAAGAGTTTATTATGTTCTAAGCATAAATTTTATTTATATTAACCTAAAAATATCTATAATAATGATATAGAAACGGTTATGTCCCCCCTTTTATACGAATTGTGGATATTTATAGGCATGCAAGGTGGATGCGATGCTCCCTGGTGTGGATTAACGTCCGCACTAGTGAGTACTATGACTATCCGCAGTACTATCCTGATAATTAGACCAATTCGTTAATTACAAGGAAAAAATGTGGTTCGGATTCCACTTTAAACTGTAGGTCCCTTAGTTGCCATTAGCTATATGGGCTATTAATTAACATCTGTGTCTAAGGAACATGTCGGCCTTAGTCACTAACAAGACTACAAGATTGCGCCACTCATCCTACACTCATCCTTCACTCATATTTGGTTAAAATACGCACATAGTGGCGTCCCCATCTAAAATAATTGATATAAATATACAAAATATATACAAGATAAGTTTTTTTCTCTTTCTTGCACCCCACAATGCTTAGTCTTTGGAATTGGTTAGATATAAATATAATATCCATTTAACTATGACAAAGCTTTAAAGAGGAGACAACTAATACAGCTCATGCAATGAACTGCATGATTGCTGCAGCTTTGACCACGATCTTTCATATCGCCCCTGCTGCTCGACCTTCACAGACGGTATGGCTCAAAGTTGCCGTTAGACATTCTATCGTAGCTCGGAGTTTGCTCGACATACAAGAAGGTCAATTATGAGACTTCGATAGCTGATAATGTCTCACCTTCAATAGATGACGGAGCTTACGTTCATTATGTTTTCGACAACGCGGATTACAACGTTAAAACACTTTATGGACATGGTACTCTTCACGCCATGGGTGGCATTGAGTGCACAACACCAGTCGAAATGTGTCAATGCAAGTGTTCCTATACCACGATCTACAATCCCAAAAGCAAAAAGTGTCCTTCTATCTCATGGCTTTCAGCCAGTGACACCTTACCATTGTCCGCTTAAGCCTAGGACATCTTTAGTAGTGTTGGGAGATGCCAGTACAGCCCTTTCCGAACCAAAAATAGTTGTAGATGCTTGTCTTTCTGACACCCTATGGCTCATCACCACCAACTGAGTGACAAACCAAGTCCACGTTGAAATTGATTCATGGATACAGTACAACGACCCTTATGGTCTTAATTGTACCACGATGCATGGCTACTGCACTGGACACGGATGTGCCAACCACGCTAGTTACAACGAAGATTACATCACCGACAATATTATTTATACTCCGTTCAAACAGCCGTGGCACCTGACGGATTAGGAGACCCCATGGAAACCCTTGGGGCCTCCTAATCCGTCAGGTGCCACGGCTGTTTGAACGGAGTATAACAGCGAGTAGTTACATTATAGTTTATATGCAATATTAAAATATAATGGTAATCAATTATAGCAACTATATCTAAATGATTCTAATTTTCATATCGGAACGAACGAAATTATTAATTGCTTTTTCAAAATTTATTTTGTACTTCATTATTAAATTGTTGCTTTCCTAGTCAAGATTATATTTCCTGTTACGGATGTTGCTCTGCTCCTGCCATAGATTTAACCAACTCCTGTTCTGAATATAAGGTTTCAACTTACTACAAGATTCCCGTACGTAAAACGGGCAAACAGCTAGTAAATAAATAAATAAATAACAAATTACAGCATTTAAGTGAATAAAAAGTCAATACCCCCCTTCTATAATATTTTCTAAGTGAATATACAGAGATGTCCTTTTTGGCGGTCGTACAATCTTAGCAGGGAGTTTCATTTTGTGATTTTGAAATTTTTAAATGTTCCCCAAAAAGGGGGGATTTTGGGGGCAACTCAAAAATTTTAAACGTAAACCCCCTTCAAGTGACATCTCATTTTAATGTGTTTACAAAAACTTTATTAATGGTGTAAACCAGAGTTTGCTATTTCATTTTTATCAAAAAGGGTAGCCCGTCAAACGTTATGGAAAATCAATGGTAATATTGGTTCGTAATTGTAATATTGGCTACCATTTTGGACAGAGGAGAATACTCAAAGATTTTAAAATCATAAAATGAAACTTCCTGCTAAGGTTGCATCACCACCAAAAGGATTACTCTGTAATATTTACTTAGGAACAAATTAGAGGGGGGGGAGTTACTTTTTACTACACAAGAAAATTAATGTAACAATATCGTCATTAAACATTTGATGGGCTACCATTTTGGATAGAGAAGATATAGCGAACACTGGTTTTAACCATTATTTAAGTTTTTGTAAACACTTCAAGATAATCTGTCACTTGAATAGGATTTACTTTAAAATATTTGAGTTGCCTTTAAAATTCCCTCTTTTTGGGGGACACTCAAAATCATCAAATGAAACTTCCTACTAAGATTGCAACACCACCAAAAGGATATTTCTGTATATTTACTTAGAAAAATATTAGAGGAGGGGGGGGTCTTGACTTTTTCTTCACCCCTTATTTAACCAATTCCATAGTGAATTGCAAGAAATGTCAAAAGGGTTAATGGCTTTAACAAGTCAATTAAGAACAACAGAAAAAAAGCTTCATTTTGTAAATATTTTGTAAATTTGTATCATTTTAGCGAATTTCCCTATAGGGAAGTAGCTATTTATAGATATATTTTTAGGTTAATATAAATAATTTTTATGCTTAAAACGTATTAAACTCTTTAATTATATACTACCCTCATACATGAGTTGAAAACGCTTAATTTGAGACATAAATAATGCCTTTCGGACTATTACTTCAAAAGATACAGCAAAAAATCTAAATTTCCAAGATGGCGGCAGTTTTTTCAAGATGGCGGCCGTTCCCCAACTGGGATTTCTTGGGACTTTGTGTGGGCCACTCAGGACATTGTTCTGAACGTTTCCACCAATTTTCAGCCTGTTATCAATTTTGTCCGGGTCAAGGTCATTTTTTTGTCTAATTGCACTGGACTAATAGTGTTAGCGACACGAGTAGAAAATTTAAGGTACGAGCCTTGATGAGTTCCTTAAAAACTTCTACTCGTTAACACTATTTACGCGAGTTGTGTACACTACTTTACCTAAGACAGTGTTTTAATTACTAAAAATCACCACCTACTCATAACTTCTAAGAGAGGTTATGTTTTTATATAACCAACTAACATCCATGAAAAAATCAGCCTTTCACTAATTAGTTCCAACACAATATCTTTATTGACTGGGCTATATCTGTTGAGAGCCCTCCCACACGTTTTCCTAATTGGAACAATTTATACTGGAAAGTTAAAAGCAAAGAATTATTATTCTATCCTTACAGAAAATTGAAAGACCGTTTCCATTTGCCTAAGTAAATGAATACAAAGGATTAAAACAAAACAATGCTCACCCAATGGGTTCTCGCTTAGTTATGGTAAGGTTTCGGTTGGGTCTTGCATGACTGATGGGGATAGTGGAGCCGTGAATCTTGTCCGTCCAACCAGCAAAATATCGCCATGTTTCTATGGACATTCCAACATGTGTTTTGAGCGCCAGGGTATATACTGCCCCTGAATCTATGCTTTCTATCGTTGCCAACTCCTCTTTATGTTCTTCCATCAAATCTGCGAGTCGATGCATCAAAACCCCACGATCTCTACTGCTAATCTTTGACCACTCTCCCTCATAAAAAGCTTTTTTGGCCATTTCAACAGCTGTGTCGACATCTTTCTCAGTTGCAGACTGAACCTAAAGTTGACATCGTGTTAGTTTCAACTTTAAAACACCACTTATCATTAAAATATCTTTTATGTACCTCCAGATAGTTTTCAAACCTATCAAAGGATATTCAAAACAAGCTGTACAAAAATAAACAATTGTGAAAAAAGACCATAGACAGGAATAGGCTGTGGTATTTTGGTCTAATGCAAGTTTGAGTTCAAGAGAGATAGCAGATCAAATATTCAAGTTCTATGTACTGAAATAAATAGGTACTTTACTAAATCAACTTTCTATTTTCAGCACTTACCAAACTGTTGTATTAAAATCCTGTAAATTCTAGATTAGATTTGATCGCAAAAACACTAAAATTATTCATAAACACCATTGTGCCCGGTCAACTTAATCAAGGTAATGAAACTTTTTGGCATGAACCTATTTTCCGTGTCACTCGTCTTGTGAGATTAAACTTATTCAAACTATATCTACTCAACAACAGTGATTGTTTTTAGCAGTTTTGTTCAACTACAATCGATTTAAAGTTTTATACCTACTCTCAATAATCTGAATAGTTACAAAAATGGATAACTGATATTGTCGACTCCAGCTGACTTTTTACTCCCTAGGGAGAAAAAGAGCTTCTTTATAACCCCCAACCTATGCATTAAAAACAGCTATGTTTGCTATAGTATGACAAAAAAAATTTAAATCCACGGACATTTTTTATATTTTTAAATATCAATGTTCCTTAAATGTCAGAGCATTTATATACCAACCTTACATATGACAGACTCATCCGCAGGATTTATACAGTCAATTGATCCATTTGACTCAGAATCAACAAAATTGTTGTTGATAAACAACTGGTTAGGAAAACTTAGATTTAGACTGTTGGCACTGATATTAACTGCCGAATATTTCAACTCTTTTTTATCAGACAATCCACGAGCCTTCTTGATTACGGTTTCACAAAACTCTGAGAATACTGGTGACATAAATACATCTTCGTTTTGCAGAGTAACTTTAAGATTTTCTTTGATTTCTTCAACCAGTCTGCAATGCATTATAGTTAATTCATTTCTAACACAAATTTGAATGTAAATGATAATCTTGACATAAATACAGGGCGTCGCCCAAGGGGCTAGGGTGGGGAGGCACCCCCCCCCTTAATCATCTTTGAAAGGTGTAAAAGTTGGGAATTTTCGGGTATTTAAAGCTATGAGTTGGGATTTTGAGAAGTTTTAAACTTTCAACTTAACAGTTTATTTTCAAACTAATCAGACATTTACCCCCCTATATACATTAATATTTCAAGTAAAAAAACTTTTGGAAATTTCATATGTTGAGTAACTAACTTACAGTATGTTACGTATCCGTAGTACACAGTAATTATTAAAGGTTTTTTAAGGATATTTCTTTCTTAGCGAGGAGAGCCGTGTTCCATGAGTTTTAATAAAAAAATTGATTTTATGAGGTTGTAAACTTATTATTTAACATTACAGTGTAGTGACAGTAATGACTTGTGAGAAACCTTCATTTTTTGTTTATAGTGTCAACTAAAAAGAGGCTTTAAAGGTAAAATATTCTTGCTGTTAAACTATGGTTTACTAAAACCATAATAAGTAGTAAACTATATTTCTCACATTTCCCAACTAAATTACTCAGATTTCCCAACAAATTATTATTATGATATTAATTTGTCGGGAAATCTGAGTAATTTAGTTGGGAAATGTGAGTAATATAGTTGGGAAATTCAAAGCGTCTCCCCACTCCAATATTTTTTTCTTGCGACACCCCTGCATAAATTAATGTATGATTTAGGGTCTGCGTAATCTTAGTTGTAAGGTGTTGTTGTAGAGAGGAAAATCTCAAAAACACAACAGAACAGAACAGAAACGGTCTTATTTGCCTGAAAGACCTATCTTTTTTGTTTTCAAAATAAAAGGATGCAGGCCTACAAGTGAAGATCGGCTACAAACCACTGGTCTTATCACTTGGTACATTGCCTCTGGTGATGCGCAGAATTTTACACTTTATCACCATGATAGAAACCACTTTAGTAGCTGCACCACGATGTGTACTGCTGAACCACATATTAAAGACAGGGCTGGGATAATAATAACACGTAATTAATTATATATTACGATCTGAAATGCTTCTATAGATTCTATAATTTGCACAGTTTGCAAATTCATCGACAAAATAAACTAGGGATGGACGAGTCCCGAGAGACCGCAGAGTCATACCGAGAATCACACCGTGACCACGAGTCATACCGACGATCACGCCATGACCACTGAATCATTTCGACGATCCCGCCGTGACCGTGAGTCATACCGACAATCCCGCCGCGACCGCGAGTCGTTTTGACAATCACACCCTGACTTCGAGTCATTTTGACCGCAAGTCACAAGTTTCTATACCTGCACATTTTTACCCATTTTTTTGGTTTTTATAGATCAGTGCCAAAAATTGTAAAAATTGATTTTGTTTGTCTTGTTTGGTAACTGCAATACTCAAGACTTCCATTTTATGCACAGGAAAAAATCCCGTCCCGTCCCGTCCCGAACTAAAAATTCAATCCCGTCCATCCATAAACCTAATTGGGCATACATTTAGAGACAAGCAATAAAGAATTAATACATTAATGAGCTGACACATAAAGTTCAGGGTATTTACCGGTTAACTAAAAGTAAAATTGGGGACGTTTTGGGGACTTTTGGTGTCCTAATACAAAAAAAATCTGTAACCTAGAAATTTGTCCAGAACAGAATTTGATTTTACAACAAATGTTTCGGAACCAGAACTTAATTAAATATAAAATAAATCCTTAAATATAAATCTTTTAAATCAAATCTGACAACTAATTCAAACTGATGATCCTTGTGTGTACAGTATATTGTGCCAACTTAATGATAGCCTATTTCATTAAATTATATTAGCTAACAAGAAATATAAATAGACAGAATAAGGTTTAGGGGGACACTTTCATGTTAGGTTTAAAAATAAGGCCACGTTATACTTCTTTATAATCTTAAATATATTGGCCACCTTACACAATTTCTACCACTATCATGCTGTACCAATGCATTAATCAATCGAACTTGATCAGGAAGTTAAATGTTTAATATCATGTATAAGTGATCCATTTTCGAATTCTCTGTTGTATGATCAAATTTCATGGAATAAGCCACCTGGTTATATCCGAACAGGACTCAGCCTCATTAATTTAGATTGAGGTTTTACTGAGCCAGTAAAAAGCTTTACTGTGCTGTGGGATAACGTCTTTTGAAACATTAAAAAGTGGTATTGGTGAAAGGTAGCATTATCTTCTTAACTAAGAAAGTCTCAAATACGATATACAGTAGACTCCCTCTCGTTCAGCCTCGGTTGGTTCGGACTTCGGATGGCCACTGGAATAAAATTACTTTTTTTATTGAGGTTATCTTATCTGACTTCCGTTTTAGCTCTAGTCCACTGCACACGTGTTCACTGTTCAGTACAGTACAAAACGTTTGTGTGTGTACATTTACTTACAGTAGTTGTGACTTTGCTTAGTGAGCTGATTCGAAAGTGTTGTGTTTACTGCACTTTATAAGTTACTGTACGTACTGTACATCATTATGAGTGCTAGACGAAAACGTACATTTGTGACAATGCAACAGCAGTTGCAAGCTCTAGAGAGAATAGACAAAGGTGAATCAGTCCAAAGTATTTGTACAGATTTTGGGGTCGGTAAAAGCACCGTAAATTACTGGCGTTGAAACCAAAAATCAATCGAGGCTTTTTGTACGCAGATCGAATCGGATAAAGCTCTTTCATTACGTAGCACTTTAAAATAACCTAAAAATGAATTGGTGAACGATGCTCTATGGGTGTGGTTCATGCAGGAACGAAGAAGGGGAATTTCCGATCACTGGCCCTATTTTAAAGGAAAAGGCAGTTATCTTACATGGCAAACTTGGAGATGAGGGGGAATTCGTTGCTAGTGAAAGATGGCTTTCCCGTTGGAAAAAGAGACATGGTGTTCATTTTCTTGGAGTGTGCGGCAAAAGTTATACGCAGACCCTGCTGGTGCAGCTGAATTTTCGAAAAAGTTAGATCAAGTTATTGCTGACAATAGCCTAAGCCCGGAACAGGTTTACAGTATTGATGAAACGGGGCTGTTCTATAAACTCTTGCTACAAAAAACATTTGCTGCAGAAACAGAAATCTCTGCCCTTGGGTTTAAGGTCAGTAAAGATAGGATCACAGTGGCACTTTGCTCCAATGCTTCGGGTACCCATAAATTGCCACTTTTTGTAATCGGGAAATCAGCAAATTGAGAGCATTCAAAAGCTTGGACATGTCAAAACTACAAGTGTACTACCGGGCTCAGATGTCAGCTTGGATGGACTTGTATGTGTTTAAAGAACGGTTTGTTAGTGAGTTTGTGCCTAAAGTAAAAAGTCGTTTGTTGAGAATAAAACTCCCTGTAAATGCATTTCTTGTTCTTGACAATGCGCCTACCCTTCCGGATGAGTTAGAATGTGATGGTGAGTCTGGAATAAAACTGTACTATCTGCCCCCAACCTAACAAGCCTCCAACAGCCAATGGACCAAGGGGTAATAGAGTGCTTCAAAAGAAAGTATCTTTCAGAAGTTTTGTACCAACTGGAGAGCGATGAAAACACTGATCTTATCCAAGTGTTAAAATCAATCAACATGAAGGACGTGATTTTCATGGTAGCAAAAGCCTATGACGAAGTACAATCTTCAACGTAAAGTCGTGGAGAAAGGTATGGCCGATGTGAAGAAGTTGTTGCAAGTGAAGGCAATGTTGTTGATGTGCACAGCCTTGAATGTGAAGCAGACGACCAAGCTTATATCCTAAATAATCTACAGCAACTGCTATCACAGTGAAAATATTGAGCTAGAAGATGTTTTGGATTGGGTAACTGTTGAAAAGGAGATGGACAATGAAATGTTGAATGACGTAGAAATAACTCAATAAGTTTTACAACGTCAAGGAACCCAAGAAGGAGAAGAAGAAGGTGGTGATGGTGAGGAGGACGACGAGTGTAAAATGAGTCACGCAGAAGGAATTGCAGCCCTGCAACTGGCTAAAACCTACATCGAACAACAGAGTTCTACAGCAGTTGACGTAATGCTTTTTTGAAAATTGTGTGACTATGCTAGAAAGAAAACAACTGTATTTAGGCCTACAGTACTTATGTTTTGTTGTGTGTGAAATAAATGTATAATGTCAGTATCAAGTAGTGATGGTCGAATCCAGAAATTTCAAATCTCGAATCCAAATCTTAAAACATTGAACCTCAAATCTCGAATCTTTTAGACTTTTGAAAAAAATCGAATCTTTTTGTGCGCGACAAAGAAAATTATTACAATTTAGGCTGGTTCCATCAGAAACACCAAATAAACACAATAAAAATGTAAAGTAGGCCTATCCATTTTGATTTAAAACTAAACAATCTTTCAATACGGAAAATTCTCATTCCCGGTTTGTTAGTTTGGTTATGTCAATTGTTGATGTTATACTGTATTTTGACATTTTCCAATGTCAAACCAAACAACTCCAGTTCCAGTTCCAATCCAAAACACAATTTATTACTGTATATTGTTTTCAATGTTTTCATCTAATGCTGAAGAAGAAACTATATGAAGAAACTATGCACATCAAATGAGTTCTACAGTTCTATGTAAACAGCAACAGTCAGACAACCACTATCGCGGTATTTCGGTATTTCACAGTTGTATTACCAAACGGTTACATTCCACTCACACTCTACAGTCCACACGACCAAATAAAAATGCCACTCATCGGGTCAACCAGACAAGAGAACCACGTTTTATCCCACTTTAACGTATCTAAAATCCCGCTTTACTTTTTCTGGTTTATCCGATCCGGTCCTGGTGTTACCTTTTTCATGTAATACGTTTAGAAAAGACTATTTAAATGATGCTTACATCTTTCAATAACACTGTTGTAAACAATTATCCAACCAATAACAAGTTTTTATATGGAAATGGAAAGCAGCGAATTCCGATTCCCGATTCTCGCCCAAAGTCTAAAATTCCCATTTTCGGGATATAAATCCCGCACATTGAAGCACTGATCAAAACAGAACGAATATTATCAAAATTAGGGCCCACCGGCACAGTCCAGATGTTGTGAATTGTGATGTTGAAGAGCTAATAGACAAGCAAAGGAAAACATTACAAGTGGATTCAAGTGCCTGGCACGACAGTCGATCTTTTTAAAAGTTGTAGCATTGTTGTATTATTGTCTTGCAGTGGCACTTAAATAATGGCTGACAAGTGACGTATGTAATGGCGTCGTAGCATAGCGCTCGTAGTAGGCAACTTAAACGAATTGACTTTCACTTTCACTTAACTCAACCCCAGCTCAGTAGCTCTTTTCTGCTTTATTTCTTTTTGTTCTAGATAAAGCGAATCGTAAAGTATAGGTGGGGACACACTTGTCATACACCCTTACGATCCGACTCCGATCATACTATGGTACGACTGTCGGAGAGGGGAATAGTACTATACTTTGAACGCAGGTGTTTGCACCTCTCCGACACGCGTCACGTCATACTCCCATACTACTCCGATTTTGACTCCGATCACGCACCGACACTGCAGTCTATTCGTTTGTCGGATGCAGGACGGGTTGTTTCTTAAAATTCAACTTATTCTTAAGGTTTAAGAATAATGATTTAAGATCAATATATGCCGATGCTTGATGTGAAATCTGTGCGTGCATACCTTCCATTCGAGACCTCAATCATGAAAATCGGACGGGTAGAAGAGCCAAACGAACTCGAGATAGAAAAACCAAAGTGTTTAACATAGGCATATAATATATAAGATGGGCACTTAAGTAAACCACCTAACTTTCTTTCCATGCAGAATGGACCCAAAATTCTCCGTTTTCCACTGCCCTCCAGAGGTGTCTGCTGTCTTCCTCTTTAATTAATAACTAGTTTAATTTTAATCCTTAGTTTTAATTTTTATTTTTGTTAGCTAAGAAATGACAATGTCATCTGTTTCACCAGCTTTGCTGGAAATGTGAAATGTTTTATGACAATAAAGTGATATTATTATTATTATTATTATATAGACAAACCGCCATCATGGCTAAATCTCGAAGTCCAACGTTTTTGAACATGTTTACCACCTTCTGCACGTAGTTTACAAATCAGACTGGCGAGTGTTGATCGACACGGTGGAGGAAATCGGAGATGGGTCGGAAGCGTGTATGACATGTGTGTTCACCCCCTCCGATCCCGCACCGATCCTTCTGGAATCCCGCAAATCGGATCGTAGTAGGATCGGAAGGGTGTATGACAAGTGTGTCCCCGCCTTAAAAGCAATTGAATGAACAGCCGATAAACAACTAAATGAGATATCGGTATTGATATCGGCTTTGTCTTCGAGCTCACGGATAATAATTTAGGCTAGACAAAAGTAAAACTAGAGAAAGAAAATAATAAGCACGAGATACAAATTTAGTGTTTGGCATTACTGTACTTTCATTGATAATATTTATCATAGTCTAATGTGTATAAAGTGAATTAAACTAACTGCCTTGTTCCCGATTGATCGTAATGCGGTACTGTAGGATTCCATGCATCTCCAATAATTTAAATTGGTTAAAAAAAATTAATAAAAATTTATATTGAGTCCACCATTCTACATCAGACGATAATATTTGTAATGAAAATAAAATTTTACAGCTACAGTAAAACATATCTCTCTTAAATAACAGAACCGCAAATATTAAATAATCAGAAATAATTTAAACAGAATTTAAAGAGCATGACTATTTTGTGCCATAATGAACAAGAACAGTTCCCTGCTTCTATATGCTTCTATTTAGATATAGAGAGGCGGATACCATAATATCCGGGAGGGTACGATATTTTTGTGTCAGCAAGAACTGGAGGGGTTTTTCTGCTTCCACTCTTTACGTCGATGTTAATGTAGTCTAAAAGTAGTCTTCTTTATATATCATTGTTTAGTTCGGCCGGTGGTTCGGTCCTAAGGTGGCCAAAACGAGAGGGAGTCTACTGTAAAGCTGTATTGGGTTGCCAAAATAAACACATTGAAAAAAATGTTGAATAATCACACATATTCCACTAATTCTCCTATCCATGTGTTTTGAGTTAAATTTTGATTTTTTTTAAATGGGCTATGTAACAGGAATATACCCACACTAGCAATAGATTGCCAAGTTTATAAATCAGTATAAAATAGACAAATACAGATATAATCTCACCTAACTACATCCATTGAACCGGCACCAGATGCAAAAAAATCAGTGCTGGCATTTACCTCTAAGCTCAAAATGCTTGCCCATATCTCATTTAAAGCCTGAGCCATTTCTTGTTCTTTATCTGTTAATTTTAAAGCATCGCCCTCACTCTTCTGTTTCCCAAACTGTGATGCAGGGATCATCCTACCTTTCACGGATAATCTCTCCACGTTCACCTAACAAAAACTGTATTAAACTTATGGAAAAAAAGGGTTTAAACTAAATTACTATAGTTTGTTAATTATAATTATGTTTCATTAATTGCCTTTAAAATTATAATTATGCAGATCCAAGGACAAGGAATGCTTGGGATTGAAATGTATGAAAATGTATTGCTAATCTACTGAGCTCAAGTTTGATTTATACAATAAAGTGAAGCTTATATCATTGATTCCTTTATTCCTTATATGATTAGTATTTCAAGACTACCTGGCATGCATATCATGTGTGTATTACTTTTATGTCATAGCTATATTCTATTCTCTATCAATCAAATGTACTAGCATTAATGAAATATACATGCATCAATCAAAGGTGCAATTGCAAGCTTTTGTGATACATTGTTAATTAACACTCAAAAAAGATTTTAAAATAAGACCCTTTTAATGTTTTGAGTCAGGATCATGACATTATAGACTTATTGTGATGTGACCCCACATACAACTCTGGCAATGAGCTTTTGGTCCCTTATTGTCAATGTATTGTATATTTATCTACATTCATTCTTAATTTACCAATATTTTTTACATGTTTTGAATGGTACAGTAGTCTCAATTATCCGACCTTCGCTTATCTTCCGTATTATCAGACCCTCCTTCTGGACAGTTGAGTTATGTGATACTGTGTTTTGAGACAACCCCTTATGTCACCCCAACAGCCTACAAGATGCGCACCAGGCTTCAGGCGGCTGCAGTGTAATCATTACCATTGTTTAGGGGTGTGCGAAGCAGCAAAAAATTTTCGATTCGAAGCAACGATTCGATTCAAAAGATTTTTGATTCGATTCGATGCAACTCGATTCGAAGCAATACGGTATTTTTCTATTCATAATTGTCAATTGAGTGGATTAACAATAATTAAAATTTATCACATTTGTGTAATACAAATTTTTGTTGATGTGGTATTAGGCCTATTCATACTTACATATGAATTTTAGGTGAAAAAATATTTATTTTCAATCATATGTATTAGAATAACTGCTGGAAATACCAGTGAGCTGCTTTACTTGCCTATTTCATAATTTTTACTTGGAATTGGCTCAACTGCAAGAAAGAAGAAAATATTTTTTTTATCAAGACATTCATTCTCATTTTAATAACTGTTTAAATAACTAAATAGGTACCGTTAGCTAAATTACAACAAATTTGAATGGAACTTAATATAAAAAGACCATTAAGAAATAAATTTACATATCACAAGTTTAGGGCCTGTGGACCGGCTTCAGGACTGCAAGCAAGAAGAAAATAAAAATAATATGTTTCCACCATGCAACATGTATCATTCATTCCCTGCCTCCTAACCTCCTTAGTATAATAACCTCACACTTACATTATTTGTTACATCATCATAAATAAAGAATTATTATTGGCATCAGTAGGCCTACAGCTTTACATAGGCATTATTTTTATAGGGCCTAAAATAGTAATAGGCTAGAAGCAACATGTCAAGTGGAGAACTCATTGAAGAAAAGATATTGTGTAAACTAATTTCCTATAAAACTCAAAAACAGTAAATAACATACAAACATTGTTTATGGTATAATTAATAAGGACTAAAAAATGCATATCATGTCATACAGTAGTATAGACCTACCGGTACTGCAAGAGATTAAAATCCTAAAACAACTGATTTTGATAGCTAATGAATGAAAAGAATTAAAAATCCATAAAATGAAGCTAAACAATATCACAACTAATTAGGTACCCGAAAAGTAACTCTTAAATAATATATAGAAGATTAAAAGAATATTAAATCAAGAGACAAGAAAGTTAAATGCTATCTTCTAGTGCCCTTGGCAACACAGGTCAATGTTTTTAAACTACCCTCAATGTTTTTGGAACAGCAGGGCCTTTTTCTCTTAAGGAAGGGTAGTAGTATGTCAACAAAAACAATGAATCAGTCTCACCAGCCAGGCCCGGGCAACGATGTGTGAATTCAAGGTCATAGACCCTCCCCCTCCCCTCTTACACCACCCGGTTGCTACTAGTGATGTGACGAGTCGAGTACTTTCCCTACTCGAGTCAATTCGACTCGATACCACAACTACTCGAGTCGGTACTCGAGTACTGGACTCGATTCTGACCTGTAGCACCGAAGCTCTGTCTGTTGACTCGTAGCTGCCGTGCGAATACTGGAAATGGAACTTGTTTGACTCGGACTCGAGTCCCTTTACTCGAGTCGGACAGACTTGGCTCGGACTCGTTTTATACTCTGTGTAGATTTAAGATGAGAGCGAGATAGGTTATTCATCTCACATTGAGTTGATAATTAATTATGGATTTTATTCGTTATTATAAAACTTAGATCAATAACAAACCAGTGTCTTGACTCGAGTAAGCAAATTACTCGAGCGCTATGTACTCGTAGCGGATAGTTTTGAAACTATATCTTGAACATTCAGCAGTGTATTATTAATACGAACTGTCAGTGTCAAGCACACAAGCGCTGTCGACTCGTAGTGTAGTGGCAAAATCTGGAACAACATCCGAGTCTCGACTCGATCGAGTAGACATGCACCCAACCCAAGCGCTATGGACTCGTAGCGGCGGATCTAGTAAGCTTTAGTTCACGAGTAATAGTACTCGAGTATCGCCGATTTGGTATCGAGTCGACTCGATACTTCATTGGACTCGATACTTAACGAGTCAAGTACTCGACTCGTCACATCACTAGTTGCTACCCAGTTGCTTCAATTGCTGACAAAATGCAAGTGATGAAACAAGGAAGTAGAGACAAAGAAATATATTTCTTTATTCAAAAACACAAAACTGTTAGAGATTATTTTCAAAGAAATTAATTCAATGTAATTTGTGAGTTGTAAATATTGTATTGGATCTTAGAAATATATTTTTTTAACCCTATTTAACCAAGATACAGATCTGTTCACTATATCAGATATTTCTTTTGTTTAAAATTTATTATGTAAAATACTAAAATATTTTTTTAAGTAGGTATTGAATGAACAATAAATGATTATACTAGTATGTCTGGATAAATAGTCTTTGTATTCTTTTGACTTTGTTTTCTTTGCACTGTTAGTGTTGCGTCACGGCTTTTGTCTTGTTACTCTTATCAGTAGACGACTAGACCTGGCTCTGGCTAGTGGCAGTGCGGCAATTGCTCTGTTGTGTCTTTATTCTTAAAGGTCGTGAGCCAACTTAATTTTTAATTCTCATTTGAACATTTTAATTCCTCTGTAATAGATATAATAATATAAGAGTGTTTCTTTGGAAATAAATTATTCTTTTTTTTCTTTTGCCCCAACAAAAATTCGGGGACGGGGACCGACAGACACCTAACAAAAATACCAAATGTATCAGTCTATAACATTGATCTTACTAGTTAAGTATTAAGTAACAATTTTTCAGACTTATTTTTAAAATGATTTTGGAGTAACCTACCTTGTTTTGGCTAGGTTCACAGTAGTAAAATATTTCACACACTGCTTACATCAAGACAAAAAACAAAACCTCTAATCATTTGCAATGTCAAAACAAAAAAATATAAAACAATTAAAGCTATATTTAATGCAAAGAATGTATTAAATAAGAACGCCTTCGTAAAGGAAACGCAACAGCAACGCGCTCCTGTATTGCGGGTATTGCATTGACTTTCTGCAGGCGTTTTTCGTATATGGATACTGACTCCCTCGTGAATCGAATCGTTTTTTGACCACCACTGAATCGAATCGCGATTCGATGCATCGAATCGAATCGAATCGAAATTTCGATGCATTTTCGATGCATCGCACACCCCTACCATTGTTCATTAACTCTCCCCATACCTGTATACCTCTCTGATACCCCTGACGTCTTTGTCTCAGTCCAAACAGTATTCCAAACGGAATACTCTTTGTACTTCTAAAAATACTATGGGATTTGGTGATCAGGAAATGTCCAACAGCTGAACAGAACCGCAAAAGGCAATTGCAAATCTGTTTACAAAAATATATACAGTAGACTCTTGCTCATACGGATCGGCCTTGTCTGGACTCTCGCTAGTCCGGATCGGCAATCGTGATTTTTTTTTGCGGTACAGTACAGTAGAAGTCTGATTATCCGAGATAAACGGCACCGAGACTACCTACCTCGGATAATCAAAAACTCGGATAACACGGAGGTAAAAATTATTACCGGTGGAACTGCATTTGCTTGGCTATCAATACTGTGAACGTGGAACAAAATTGAAAAAAAAAAACAGCTTTATAAAGTACTGTATTTACTTGACTCTCAATAGTCTGAATTTTTTTGTAATCCGGACCGGACGTCCCCCCCCCCCACATTTAGTCCAGATGAGCAACCCCGACAACGACAACACAAACACAAAAAACTCCACTGTATTAAATTGAATGCACTAACTTTATAAGATTTTATATATTATTTTATAATGTAATACAAATATATATTTTAATAATACTAATGTTTTTTTTTCTTATTTTCCATGCCATCCGACCTGGCTGAGGCCACATTAAGGTTGGATAGTTGAGACTGCTGAATATACCAAATCTTGCTCTATATACCAAGGCTACAAGAAACTAAATTTTAACCCATATGATGCAAATAATTAAACTTGCAGATGATAAAATTAATCTTTCTTTCATGAAGCAAATCTAGACATACTGTACAGTATATTGGTTATTATTAATTGTCACAAAAAATATTCCACTCTCATGCAATTAAAGAAATGGATACTCATACTCATACTTACCATTTTTCCATCACTTCCAACAAGTAGAAGGCCACCAGCGTGAACTAAACCAGGAGTGTCCATACCATCTATCTGTACACACTGTCCATCTGGTTTAGCACTTTCCCACAAACTCGATGCAAAAAACTTAACTTCTTCATTATTCATAACAGCCCAAGCTCCAGGAGAACTATCAAGCCCTCGTATAAAGTTGTGGATTTCTAGGCCTCCGCTGTTCCAGTCTACCTGATCAGACATCAATCAAAATATATTCATTTTTTCTAATTCAGGATATCAGTTCTACAATAACGATAATGCCTATATATCAATGGACAATAACTATGAAATAGTTATTTATTTCGACTTTGTCAGTGCAGTGGCATAAGGACTCTCGGGCGCCACCCTGTCCAAGGCTACATAAATACTAACTTACATAAATAAATTAATTATTGTTCAGTTAATCAAATTACAATTCCTTGATACATATAAATCAATGTAATATAATACAAACACAAAAAAACTAGATAACTTAATTCAGTAATTACTTATTATTAATAATTAGTGTTAAATAAAGTCATCAACAACATTACAAATTTTTTATCAATCAATTATGTATTGTAAAATAAATCTTTTCAAATGAAACAACCTTTTTCAATTATCAAACTCAACAAAATACACCTACACACACAAGGATACGACAATTTGATTGGCGACAAGTAAACCTCAAGAGAGTGATTTTTACTGTATGAACATTACCTGTAAGCAATCTAGGCCAGGACTATCAGCAATTTGTTCATCTAGCTGCATTTTCAATTATCAATTAGAAACATTTCAACTATAATCTTATCAACATGGATCCAGAACAATTCAAGCAATTCTTGGAAATGCAACAAGCTGTGATAACAACATTGGTAAGTCAACTTTCAACACAACATTCTAACGTAAAGCCAAATGGTGATACTGATCAATCTGAAACAAATTTAAGTCAAACTATTTTTGTAGGTTTATACAATGCATATCTACACATCTTAGTTGATGATCAATCCAGTGAAATACAAACTATAACAACCCACCGAGGAACGTACAGAATGAATCGACTATCTTTCGGCATAAAAACAGCACCTGCAGAGTTCAACCGCATCATCCATCAAATGCTTCGAGACATCCCCAAGACTGAACTTTACTTTGATGACATCATAGTACATGGATCAACAATGGAAGAATGCAGATCCAACTTGTACGCTTGCCTCAAACAACTTCAGAAATATGACCTTCACCTCAATCGTCAAAAGTGTTCATTCTTTAAACAACGCAACAAATTCCTAGGTCATGTTGTTGAACACAACAGGATTCTAAAATCACCAGAGAAGATTAACGCTATTATCAAAATGAAACAGCCCACATCCATCGAAGAAGTTAGAAGATTCTTGGGAATGGTAACATACTATTCACGGTTCATTCCCCAATCTCTCAACTGCCACTGCGACAACTTCTAGTAAAAAATGCTAAGTTCTACTGGAACAGAAAATGCACTGAAGCTTTTGATCGACTCAAGAAAGGAATTGCCAGTGAACGAGTTTTAACCCATTTGATACAGCTTTACCTGTACAACTTGCCTGTGATGCCAGTCCTCAAGGGGTTGCGAAAATACTCTCTCACATCGACCCTTCAGGAGTTGAACGTCCTATTGCTTTCGGGTCGAGATCTCTGACAAAAGCTGAGCAAAAGTACTCACAACTAGACCGTGAAGCTTTGGCTATAATCTTCAGTGTGGGACATTTTCATCAATACCCGTTTGCAAGACCCTTCAAGCTAATAACTGACAATCGACCCCTTGTAAGAATCATTCATCAGAACGCGAAGATACCTCAAATGACTTCAGCAAGACTGCAGAGATACAATGCATTTTTGTCAGGCTACAACTACGAAGTAATCTACAAGAAAGGCACAGACAACTGTAATGTAGACTGTCTATCAAGAGCACCAATCGAATCATCATCACACGCAGAAATATCAATCAACACAGAAGTAAATCAAATATGTGAATCATCAATTGAAGTAATGTCAACACTTAATCTTACACATGAAAAAATCCAAGAGGAAACCAGAAATGATCCAAATTTGTCAAAATTACTGAAAGAACTGTGTCAAAATCAATCAGAAGACTCAGAATTTACCATTTCTGATGACATCATCTTCTGCAGTTCTCGAGTTGTCATACCAGTAAGTCTTCAAGACTCCGGCCTTCAAGAACTTCACCACACACCCATCGGATCGACAAAGATCAAACAGCTTGCCCGCCGTTATGTGTATTTGAGATCCATCGACAAAGACATCGAAAGAGTTGTACGAGCATGTCGAGCATGTGCTTCTACCAGACATAGTCCACCCAAAGCTCCCTTACACCCTTGGGAGGAACCTGAAGGTAACTGGAAGAGAGTACACATTGACTATGCTGGTCCCTTCCAGAACCACCACTTCCTAGTCATTGTGGATGCCAAGTCTAAATGGGCTGAAGTAGAAGTATGTTCATCTGCTCCAACTTCATCATCAACCATAGAGATGGTTCAGAATGTATTCTCACACTACGGCTTCCCAGACGTAATGGTATCGGACAACGCTGCGATTTTCACTAGCGACTTATTTCACCAGTTCTGCAAAGAAGGAGTTTTTCAGAAATTCATAGCACCGGGACATCCAGCGACCAACGGGTTGGCTGAAATAAACATCCAGACCCTCAAAAATTGACTTTTTACCATGATTGAAGAACCTTTCACAATGAAACAAAAGGTTAGGGAAATACTCTTCAGATATCGAGCTACACCCTTGGCCAGCGGGAAGACACCTTCAGAACTTTTTCTCAACAGATAAATTAGAATCAAACTTGATGCGTTAAAACCACCAAAACATCTAAAATCCTCAATTCGACACACCAAAGCAAGACAGTACAAAGTAGGAGACAGAGTCCAAGCACGGTCCAACAAAAATCTATGGAAACCAGGAACCATTATTAATAAGTATGGACTCTTACACTATCTAATTAGACTCGACAGTGGATATGTGTTTAAAAGACACATCGACCAACTACATACAACTCACTGAAATGCCAACAAAGACTGTCAAATTTGCTCCCACAGTTCAAGAAGCCACTTCGGAAGAACCAAGACCACATCATCCATTTGAAGACCTCATCACCATCCCTACTGAACAACGACCGCCACGAATCAATGAACAATCTCAACATGAGACAGGAAATGAAAGTCCAGTGCTGCGCAGGTCCAACAGAACACATCCCCAGCCTGAATATTTGAAAGACTTTGTCAGGTCTTAATTTTGTTGTATTTTTTTTCTTCAATATTGCCAGTTTAAAAAAAAAAATATCTTTTCCAGGGGCGGCTCCAGGAATGTTTTTTTTTTTTTTTTTGTAGGCCTAACAATGATCAAGAAGGAGTTTGATCAGGGACGAGGGATTTGAGGGGCTTTTTGGAGCAAAAAGAGGAGATTTTAAAATTTAAATGCAAAATAATGAGGTTTAATGTTTTCCCTGTATTTACATATAAATTTATTTATCTATAATTTTGAAATATCTAGACCAAAATTTTAGGTAGGCTACCTGGCCTACCCTCTGGAGCCGCCCCTGATCTTTTATAATAAGCGAGGGAGAATTATAGTATATCAACCACATGTTTAATAATTATTCAATATCCTATGTTGGCAATAAGGAAATATCTACCATTTGTTATTATTAATAATTAATGTTAAATAAGTCATCAACAACATTACAATTTTTTTATCAATCAATTATGTATTGTAAAATAAATCTTTTCAAATGAAGCAACCTTTTTCAATTATAAAACTCAACAAAATACGCCTACACACACAAAGCCACAACATTATCTAACTTGCCAAGGGCTTAGGCCTACTAAGAGCCTTGGTATCTTGATTATAAGTCTTATTTAGGGCTGCTATTTGTGCATATGTTTCAATATCATTGGATCCATTAGATATTTTTTCAAAACTAGAAAGATTTAATACTTCAATATTAACATTTTCATTGTCCATAAAATTTGAATCGGATGTGCAACGATCACTTTCGTCTATAGTGGTAGGCATATTCCCATTAAAGTTTGGGGTTGGAGTCGATTTGCTAGCATTTCAACTTGTTTCAACTGGAGTGAGCATATAAATAATATAGATTCAAAAATCAACTCTGGAACTTTCACCTTTTCAAAAATGTCTGTGTACTGTGATGTCAAAACTTTACTTGGCATATATTAATTCAAATATTTCCTTTGGTATCTGTCTATTTGGAGCAACAACCAAAATCAATCTTGATCAAATATTAAAACATCAAAAAAGAGCAGTGAGAGTAATGCTCAGACTAAATTCTGATGTCTCGGCAAAAGAGCACTTTAAACAGCTAAACATACTAACTGTTTATGGGCAATATATTTTTTATTTTGATTGGATACATCGGATGAGGTTTTATAAAAAAAAAATGTAATCAAAAATTTATTGCCCATAAACATGAACGTTCACCGAAATGAAACGAGGAAAAAAATCTGTTTTTGCAAAATAGGCACAGATTAAAGTTTTATGAAAAAACCCATCATTTTCTGGTAAATTTTTGTTAACATATCCCTAGAGGAATTGAAAATGAAAAAGATACAAAAAAGTTCAAAACAAAACTAAAAAATGTCTTAACAAACATGGTAGGCCTAATTTATTCTCTAGAAGAATTTTTCCACCTCCCTCAAGAGTACTAGATATTAAGAAAATATAAAATATTTTCCCATCTCTATAGGGAGTTGTATTTTTTCATTTGTATTTTATTTTTTAATAATTGTAATCTGTTGTAATCTTATTGTAATCTAATAATTGTAATCTGTGACACTGTTCAAATTCTGTATGTATTATGTATACTTCTCAATGAATAAAGAAATTTAAATTGTGCACGATATGAGTATGCAATAATTGTAGGCTGTTTTGCTTGTTTGATTTTCCATGGATGATTTTAGACAGCATTTATTTGGTAGTGTTATTATTTGCAGTATAGGCCCAATTATTTAGGATCATAAATAGGAAGATATTATTTGATTCGGCATCTTGGCTTGTTTTGTTTGGCCGACCAAGTGAATCACGACAAATAATTTAATGTTTTTATGTGAAAAAATCAGCGTTCAGTATATTTCAAAGTTATTTATGGCAGCATATGTTTTTGACGACTAGATCAAATTTGAGAATGGAGATGATTTGGATGGTTTGATGGTTTGGAGATTTGATGGAATGCGCCAAAACTTCTTAACGTTATTTATGAATTATGGATTTTAGAAGACAATAGGTATGTGATGATCTAATAACATTTATCTTCTTATATTTTAGATAATTCAATATTTAGAATACTTTTGTATTTACCTTTTGAAGGTCCTTCTTGCGTACTGAGGGCTCAAATGAAGCACCTTCTGTGGGTTGATCTATTTTTGGAGCTGTTCCATTAGCCACCATGTCCACTGCATCAGCCTATGATGACAATAACTTGAAATAGGCCTAGTGTTACACATTGTTTACTAAATTAAGAACCCATTGGGTTTGCTTGTTATTTAAATTATGTTGTATTTTTACTTGACTTTTTACTTTTCAAGTTTTGTGAATGTCACTAACAAAACTGTTTTCTTTCATTAGTGCATCACAAAACAATAGGCCTATATTCTTCAGTGCTTTAGTTACTATTACACTAAGAGGGTTTAATTTCAAGAAATTATCTGGTTAGCAATACTGGTAATTACTGATAAGAAAAACCCCTGCCACAGCAAAACCTGCAGACTAAGCGAATTCCCATTGCCTGAATTGATTTTAAATTAAATCTATTTAAATAACTTTAGGTTTAAAGAGTACCTAGGTTTGCTGATACAGGGAGGCTAATAAAGTGTGTTTTTTAGTAAAATATTATTAGCTTAGTATAAAATAAATAAATTTGCCAAGTTTGATCAAAATATTTCTATAAACAAGCAAACTTTACAACAACTTTACAAGCAAGAACTTACAATATTCTCCATAAGATTAACATATGGGAATTTTAATTTGCAATTTTTAACATTTTCTCCTTAGGCCTACTTATAACCGTACAAAAACACTAAATTATATGTTTTTTAAGCTCATTAAAATGGTCTAGAGAGAAATTGGGAAGTTTTATGTTTTTAGGGTTAAAAAACCCCAATTTTTATCCCATGAAACCCTGTTCCCATAGTCCGATCATGCTGGTTCGCGAACTCATTCAAATTTATCCTGTCTTACGCCTTCAAACCAAATTTCATCAAAATCTGAAAAAAATTACTCAAGTTATCGCGTTCACGGGCGTATATATAAATCTATATATGAACAAATAACAAATCTATATAATATATATATATATATATGTTATATATATGTTCTTGGCAACATGTGGCAGCCGATAATGGGATAAATCACATTGTAAGTGGCTGCTGGTGCATAAGACTGCTATATGCAGTATGCACATTGCATGTTAAATCAGCTCCAGACATGGGTACAAATGAATTCCCAAAGTTTGAGGTGGCAGCCAAATGATGTATTTTTTTATAGGAGTATGTAAAAATTTAGTTCACCACTTTGCCATAAGGTTCGCTGATGTTATGAAAATATACACCAAGAGTATGTTCGAATCAGAATTTGGCTTAGAGTGGCAGCATAAATGTGGACACACTGTCAAAATGAAAAGTGTATTGAACAAATGTTATGAACGGCAATGTAATGGTTTTTGCCGCGAGAGTGGCTGCCGGAAACGATCTTGGCCTGACCATAGTTTAGTATATCTGATTTTTATTCTAGATTTATACGAGCTGCTTGCTATACCCATGTTTTGCAACGGGAAGAGAACAAGACGAATAATGCTTATAGATCGCTGTACAAAATAGTAGTTACACATCTTTTATTCATACTATACCCGTTGCGAAGCACGGGTATAGTAAGCAGCTTGTATGAATCTAAAATAAAAACCAGATCCACTATTATATGGTCAGGCCAAGATCGTTTCCGGCAGCCACTCTCGCGGCAAAAACCTACGTTCTGATAGGTTTAACATATATAAAAATTGAAACGAATAGTGTTTTGGCCTCTAGGGACATCAGAATGAAAAAGTATATCGGTCCCGGCTCCAGGTCTTACCGTACCATCTACGGTAATAGCTACTTCCCTATAGGGAATTTCGCAAAAAAGTGATTTTTCTGCTTAATATAACTTAAATGGCTAATTAGTTGTTTCTTAGCGAATTGTTCTAATTAACTGATAGCTATCGTGTAGTGACATGACATTATCTGTGTTTGGTTTCATAATACATAATATATACTTGATATTCAGTACAGTAGCTTCTTTCAACTAAAGGTCCTTTTAATTAATTGTTCAATTAATTGTAATTAATTGTCAAAATATAAACATCCTCTTTTTACACAGAGCATAAGATGTTAGGTGAATTTCAGTGATAAACAAACTTGCCATAGCTTGAATACCAGCTGGGTAAAGGAAACGGCTGTACAAGGAATCCACAGTGTCGTTGCGTTCAACTTTGCACTTTTGCTGAAGAAGCAACGGACCTGTATCTAGTCCCTCGTCTGCCCAAAATACAGAGAATCCAGCCTCTTCATCACCATTGATTAAAGTCCTATTTAAGAAACATAATCATTGGCAAGCACACCACAAATCAAGTAAATCGCAAAGTAATAATAAATGTGCAGTTATTTAGAACTAATAAGTTACTATCTACTCCAATTAGTGTTAGTAAAACTTCATCAAGAAAATAAAAAAAGGTTTAAATGGTTATTCAAAAGCCTAACAAGGTTTCAAGAAATATCATATGAATACTCGAAACATAAAAGTTAGGAATAATATGAATGTTTAAACCTGACTTTGTGTTGGATTTTTTTAACACCTGCTTCAAGCAGTAAAAACCAAGCTTGTTATGTTCAGATGACAATGTAACTTCCCTCCTGAGAGTAAAGTAAGCCAAACATCTAGAAACGTTGTCATATTGTACAGCCATTTCAGCACTAGGCCTATTATTTAGCGACAAACGGAAAATTATTACAAAATTAACACTTGGTGATGCAATAGTTTGATTCAGGTGTATGAGACTTTACTTCAATCAAGATATTTAATATCCCTGCCGCAAGAAGCCTGCAGACTAAAGAGACTTTCAATTTGCCTAATTGTATATTGACTCAAATATTTTTAAACATGTAAGGGGGGGGGGCGACCCACCGGGGGGTTTTCCATACCCCATACCCCCCAGTATTCGCAATTTCCTCTCCCGGAAATTTTTCCGAATTTTAGTGCTCAAAAACACCATTTTATACCACTTTTTAGGTCTCATGAGATCTTAAAAGAATGGGTTATAAAACAACTACTCTCACATTTTTTACTCTCTTTTTAGAGAACTTACAAAGTATTGATCAAACAAAATTTGGCTTCGTAGATTACATATAGAAATAGATCAAATAAAAAAATACCCCCGTCGCAGCAAACCTGCCGACTAAGCGAATTTCCATTTGTCTGAATTGATTTTCAGTTAAATATATTTTAATAACATTAGGTTTAACGAGTACCTAGGTTTGCTGCTACAAGGAAACTAATAAAGTGTATTTTTGAGTAAAATATTGATAGCTTAGTACAAAATAAATAAATTTGCCAAGTTTGATCAAAATATATCCATAAACAAGCAAACTACAACATTTGACAATATTCTCCATAAGAATAACATGGGAATTTTAAATTTACAATTTTTTTAATTTTCTCCGTTACTAATAATTGAACAAAAATACTTTTATATACTAAATTATTTGTTTTTTTAAGCTCTTTAAAAAGGTCTAAAGAGAAATCGAGAAATTTTGTGTTTTGAGGGTCAAAAGTGAGAAAAACCAATTTTTACCCCATAAAACCCCCCGTAAAGCCCCGTTCCCATGGTCCGATCGTGCTGGTTCGCGAACTCATTCAAGTTTATCCCGCTTTACACCTTTAAACCAAATTTCATCAAAATCGGACAAAAATTACTCAAGTTATCGCGTTCACGGACGTATATATATATATATATGTCTATATATATATATATACATATATAAAAATTTGAACGAATGGTGTTTTTGGCCTCTGGGGACATCAAAATGAAAAAGTAAATCGGTCCCGGGTCTAGGTCTTACCGTGCCACCTACGGTAATAGCTACTTCCCTATAGGGAAATTCGCTAAAAGAAAGTTTTTAAGGCTCTGAAGTAGAACCCTCAATGTTTTTAGTAAGAACATTAATATATCATACAAAGGAGAACTAAAGAGTCATTATTAAATTACCATGATTTTATTAAATTTATTAAACAACCTATGAACTTTTCAGTTTCAACAGTATACGTAGTGTCAAAGATATTTAACACGTTCGCTACTGCAATAGTACGAAATTTTCCAATCTCATGGACCAGCGACGCACATATGCGACGGCCGGTTTCCACCCATGGACTGCCGTCGCATATATGCGACGGTTAGTCACATTAAAATAGACTGCCGACGCATATTTGCGTCAGGGTTCTAATGTTATTAAAATGCTTATATCTTTGTAGTGGTCTATTTGAAGGCACTGAATTCCCTGCAGTGGTCTACAGAGATGTCTGACGCACAACTGCGTCGCTTGGTCTGTGGATATGATGATTGGTGACGTCATATAATAGTTGGAAAAACTGGTCTTATCCTATGTAGCTTTTATATTTGTTCAGTTATAAACTGTTCTTGAATAATCTGTTTATTTCTTTACTTACTTTCACCTTAAAACACAAAAAAATGAACTGTCGCATATATGCGACGTTTAGTCTATTTCAAGAAAACTATGATAATTTTCATTATTGTCTTCGCTGTAGACCGGGCGTCGCAAATATGCGACATTACAAAAGGTTATAAAAAATACAAATAAACAAGAATAATTGATTTACAAACACCATTGTAGCGTATTACAATGTAAATGATCGCTGTTTTACAGGTTTTCGCCCGTGGTCTGTGTGTACTGTTATCCAAGTGACAGTCGGTCTATGTGTAAGATTCAAATGTATACCTCGGTCTGTGGCAATGACCGCGGCGTCGCATATATGCGACGCTCAGTAGCGAACGTGTTAAAAGCACTGGAGAGGCCTATACATATATTTAGTAGTACAGTAATTGATCATATACAAAATGCTGAACTGCACTACTACAGTACTGCCAAGTGGCAACATATCAGAAGACAAAACACATATATGCCTCCTCCCACCTCATAAAACGGTCATAATAAACGTCATTGATATCTAAATAAATTGGTCTCGGGTCTAGGTCTTACCATGCCTAGGCCCGCAATTCCCATGTGACTCGCAAAAATCTATGTCGCAGAATTCTGCCTAGTGGCGTAACAGATTTGTTTGGGCCCCCCTGCAAACTAATTTTTTGGGTCCCCTCTCATGAGTTATTTTTAGACCACCGATACAACATAATTAAAAAGATTCATCATAAATACTGTAGTAGTAAATAAATTATGGTTAATGTTTCATAAAAGCGTGTTAAGAATTTACATTGTTTTTTTAGAAATTGTTTTTTACAATATTATTCTAGAGGTTAAATACCTTATTGTTGCCACTGTAATCCCCTGTCGTCTGGATGGCGACCGGTTTCGACACTCATGGTGTCATTGTCAAGCCGTAGGTGTTGTCACTCCTAGGAGGTCGTCATAAAGTCTTGAAAATATATAGGTGACAACACGTCTCTACGGCTTGACAATGACACCATGAGTGCTGAAACCGGTCGCCATCCAGACGACAGGGGATTATAGTGGCAACAATAAGGTATTTAACCTCTAGAATAATTTACATTGGTATTTTAGTCATGGTTTGATGATAAAGTTACATCACTTCATCGTTATATCCGTATCAGTATTTGTAAATAGTTTTGAAATAAAATTAAAATACCTTATTTTAAAATCCAATCTGTATGGATCAGAATGTTTCATATCAAGGAGATTTCATAGTTAAAGAAATAGGAATTATGACTGTTTTTAGCTTATACATTTATCAAATAGCCCTTTATATTAAATCAAACCATGAAAGATTGCCAAAATTGAACTCTTTTCATAAGTATTCACCCATAAAAGGTAATGAATTGGTGTTCAACAGACATAATTTATCGGTTTACAAAAAAATCCCATCTTATAGTGGTATTAAATATTTCAATAGCTTACCTGACAATATAAAAATGTAACTAATTTTAATTCATTTAAAAACCGTTTGAAATTATTGCTCACCTACAGACCCTCGTATAAATTAGAAGATTTTTCCCAACTTCCTGAAATTTGATTTGTTGATAATAACAATATTCTCTGTAAGTAGTCTTAGGTTTAATATTGTGTTTTTATAACTGACTCCATTCTGTACACAATGTGCAATACGAATAAAGTTATTTTAATTGATTGATTATGTTATCAATTATTCATTCGGTTAGTTTTCATCAATGTTTATACTTAACTCATACACTAAAAGTTCGTTAGTATAAAAGATTTACATACGATTATCACAGGCTAAAATAGCCTATTGAATTTTTGTATTTTGTCTTCAATTTCAATAAATTTCAAATTTCAACTTCAATATGAATTTCAAGCGTTGACCTAGACCTTACAAACATGTCTTTAGTTGATTAATTGTGGTGATGTAAAATAAGAAATAGGCTAACAAACAAAGTCAGTAGAGTAGCAATATATTGTATTTTAACTAAATACAATTAATATTAAGGCAAAACTATAAAATGTAATACAATATTAAAAGTTCCAATCAATGTTCATGACTCCAGGCCCCAGGTAACTTAATGTTTCAAAATGTTTGCAGGCATAAGCAGTGTACGAAAGCACAGATAAGTAAAATCTTTCTCTGTGACAAAAGTAAGGTTGCATAATAATCAATGACCCACGTTATAAAATGTTGAATTTGTTACCTTAGTTCGTTATCACTGAATAGGCCTAACAAATTAAATGACGACAACATATTATTAACCACATTGTTATTACTTGTTCAATACAGTTATTGAATGATTGATAATAGATTTTCAATAAATCAATAAAAATATATTTCCGGAAAAGTTGAATACTTTTGTGTGGAGTTTATACATTTCAATAAGAATAAACTCCAATATTTCGGCCCCACTCATCTCGTCTCTTGGGCATCCTTACCCGCCGGTTTTCGCTCGCCATATCCTGCTCACCGTTTCACGGAACCCCCCGCATTGCAGGCACTGCGGGCCCTTCTGTTACGCCACTGATTCTGCCGCCTACAAGCTCAGCCCCTTAGTGACATGAAATTAGAGGTCCTTGTCGTAATTAAAGCGCTGTGCTGCAAACCAAGTCTTCATTTTTGTGCACAAAACAAGGTGAGTCACTTGAGGCCTTACCACGGACTGTAGGGTGGGGGATGAGGGTAAATCTCCAATTTGAATGATCAAAAGAGCTCAAGTGTGCAAATTTGACAAATGAGGTCGGGCATTTTAGATCGGCCGTTTTGAAATTGAACATTTCTGGACAGAACTTTAATTTCTTAATTTGTTACCGCACACTTCACACCCTAGACACTAAATTTCTACAGGTTTTGTTAAGTGTATGGCCATCAAAAAGCGTAGACGGCACCTCACAACCAACTGGCAAGATTTACAGTTGCAGCAGACTTAAATATTGCGACGATCGATGGGCAGCACAATGACTCTTCCACTGTGCTGGCTGGACATCCAGTGAGTAGGCAAAATTGTTCCATACTTTCTGAACGCAATTATTCTCTAAACGTATTATATTATTATTCTCTTATATAGGGAAAACATTATTAAGAAATCATTTAGAGAGCTTTTGGTAAACCTAACTTACCAGTTGATTGCACTCACACCTCTATGCTTGGGCAAAATAGAAGGATGATAACAAATACTTTTATGTTTAGGATGGTTAATGACTTCCATTGGTATAAATTGAGAACAGAAAGGAAGCACATTTAGCTCCGCTCCAACTTGCATGTATTGGTCTATAATCTCTTTTAGAGCTTGGTCTCCCTTACGCCACGCTTTTACTTTGAACACAGGTGTATTATCCTTGCTGGCTACAGTTGCTGTAACATAGAAATAAATTGTCATTATTACAACACAAATCACCAAATAATTGTAAATCAAAAATATATATCTAAATCGCTATTTGAAATGGTGTATTCACTAAATTGTTGGTCTTCTAGTAAGAGCTGTGTCAAATCAGTATTTATACTATTTACTGATGTGTTCTTGGAGGTAGACTATAATGTAGGTTCATTGTAATTAAACTCACATTTGTAATTGGACAAAAAAATCTTTATTAAGTGACACCTGAGACATACATCCTTAACATTGAGACTGCCCAGACTGGAATGGCTAACTAACTGAGTTCGGCTATCGGTTACCTGGTGGGGGTATACCTATGATACATCACTACCTTCCCATGTTTAAGTTCAGTTGATAATATATACAATAATTAAAACATAAACAAATTCAAGTTACATGATAAATTGAATAATTACTTTGTTTATAATTCTTAAAAATACAGACAACAAAACAGTAAACAACTTCTAAGACAAAAAAGACAGTTCGATATCATCAATCAAATTCTGAAAATGTAAATCTTTGAGTCGGCTTGATTTTCTTCCCCTACTACTAGTCTGCTGAAGGGGATTCGTAGGTGAAGGTTGGGGAACGGGTGGAGATGGACGTGGATTGGTTATTGTTAACAGGAGATGGTCTGGGTGGACTAGGACTAGGCACATGTCTAGGTGACGGTGTTTTGGTGTGGAGTTTATCAGGATTAGGTCAATGAGGTTTTGGAATATAATATTCTCTAAGCTGGTTTACATGGACTTTTGTCAGATAACACTCTTACCACATAAACAGTCTGGCTAATTTTCTTGGTCACTTGACCTACCACAAACTTTACACCAACATTTGTTTTCTTATTCAAATTTACCCATACAAATTGATCAGGATGGTAGTTTGGAATTCTTTTCTTTTGCTTGTCTTTACTTTTAGGCGGATTCTTTCATTTTGATTGATTCGATACAAAGTTGAAACTTACATTTCTTTTTAAAGTAGACAAAAGGGTTTCAGGTACAAAAGTATGTACCATATTGCCATAGGAGATTTACCCGTTACAGAGGATGGAGTGGAACGATAAGCATAGAGATAATCTAGTAACATTTGTTCTGGTGGCAGATTACGACTTCTTTGACAAAGATAAAATTAACAATATAATTTTAAATGTTTGAACGGAGCGCTCAGCTAGTCCATTATATTTAGGGGAATATGGGGGTGAAAACATGAGTTTAATTGACTTCCACTCACATAGGTCCAGATCCGCGACTCAGCAAGACAATTTAGATCTGAGAGCTTATTTGAGGCCTCGACTCAATAAGTCCAGAACCTTTAGATCTGGAGCTCGGAAACCGGCCCTTAAATGTAAATAAAAAATGAGTTTGGAATGTATGAAATGCCTTTTTTAGCTTTGTCACTGACTTAGATCACTTGTTTCTTTAGTTAGGACCATTTAAAAAAGTCCAATGATCAAGAATAGATGGGTCCATATCAATATCAAACCATCTAAAAGCTACTGACTAGTCTCAGGATCAACCCTTAACCTGCTGATAAGTACCGGTAGCCAAGCTTTTACACTATGACCAATCATAGTGTCCAGACAATGCTGAACACATAAAAAACTGCTATAATAGGTAACACATTGTTACGACAAACTAATCTAAATCTAATATTGTCAATATGGATGCTGCTTACACTTGAGTATAAAACAAGGAGGGGTATAGACTAATAAAAAGAGGCCACTAACCACAAATCAAAAAGGCAAAACTGGTTTAACTAATTCAAGGTTTAGTTCAGTTTACAGTACCTACAAGAATAACTAAAATAAGCTTAATTATAATTTAGGGGTGATCTTCTTTTATCATCAAGCATATAAATTTAAAAACCCCGAACAAGTGAGAATAAGATATTTTGCAAAGAAATCAGATAGAATTAAAAACAGTCTAATGGTTAACATTTCAAAATATACTCAACTAATGAACATACATTGACTAAGGACTATGACTCATTAAAACTAAATTACCAAGTGGGTCTTCACGGGAAGCTTTATCTGGGATGGTAAATACTCCAACTACTTGGTGACCACGAGCCCTCACAAGCTTGTAAACTTCTGCTGCAAAAGTGCTCTGACCAATGAGGGCCAATCGAAGCTTGGTTAAGAGTGCCTGCAAAAATATAGATTACCTTAGTCAGCATGGTTATAGCAAAAGTAACGTAATGAGTAAGTTGTACTATGATAGGAAGCTAGAAATTATAGGCCTACAGCATGGTTATGGTCTAAAACCATGATATTTTTGTTTAAGAATTCTTGTGAAAAATTGACAAGAATTTTACTAGACCAGGTTTCCGTTCTGAAATTATGAGTCCATTTTAATCTGTGTGTACACTGGGGTGAATACATCGCCATCAACGTCCTAACTTTCATCAGGAATAGCTTGTAACTTACCCTTATAAAGTGCACTAAACTAGAATAATAGGCCTAATCATCTAACATGTATCGAGCTGCGAGAATATACTTCTTGTGGCAAAACTTTCATATACCTTATTACCTCCTCTTTGTCTTTGACCATCCAGGGCGGGATAGACAGCGTCAAACATTTTCAAATAAAACTTTCTTTAATAAAACATGTATTTACAAATTAAGCTTTAGATGGCGGTGGGCGGTCAAGAGAAAGTTGGTGCTTCCTCAAAATACTCGTCAACTGAGTAGAACGGGTTTTGTAGGAGGAGCTCCTTGATCCTTTCCTTGAATATTTTAGGCTCTAGCTCTCTCAGGTGGAGTGGCAGCGCATTAAACATATGTACAGCAACTGCGGGGAAGCTATCCCTTGTCAGGGATAGTCTGTTTCGCTGGGTATTCAGCTTCTGTGCTCCTCTAACGTTGTAAGAGTGGAGCTGGCCTCGGAGTTCAAAATTGCTCAGGTTGGTTTTAATGACAAGAATCTTGAATGGCGTCCCTACTTATATCCTATTGGCTACCGGAAGCACCGGCCAATACATTTTTATAAGTACAACTGGAGTCGATTTACTTGTTTATTAATCAGCTTATTTCTATCTTTACATTTTTCCTTATAAATATACAACTCTTCCAAAGCATTCATTACATATCCTTTCTTACAATTTTCCAAAGTCCCGGACCGGTTTAATATTTTCTAAACGACAACAGATAAATCAACAAGATTTGGTACATCAACATCACACCTAAAAATCTACTTTTTTATGGAAATATAAATTTTCTGTCACATCATGGGGACGTCCCGCAAGGAGTCAGAAGGAAATCTTAAATAGAAGCATAGGTTGACATGTACATCAGATTAAAGGTCTTTACTAGCAGAATATAATGCTGCAAATTTAAACTCAAACGGACAACCAAGTCAAGAGTAACAGTGGTTCAAAGATTCATTTAATTTGCATTTGGGGGCAGAGCCCTAGGAGTCAGAACATTTTTGTTAGCGTAAGCATAGGTCGATATGCACATCAAATTAAAGGTCTTCACTAGTAGATTACAATGCCGTAAATTCAAGCTCAAAAGAACGCCTGAGTAAAAAATGGCAGTCGTTCAAAGATTCAAAATGGCAGGTTCAAGAAATCTTTGAACGGCCGCCATTTTGTAACGGGTGATCCTTTCGAGGCGCGGTTTCCGGCATTGAACTCTGCTAGCTAAGCCCTTTAAACTGATGTGCATATTGACCTATGCTCCTATTTAAGATTTCCTTCTGACTCCTCGTGGGACGTCCCCATGATATGACAGAAAACTGATAGTTCCTTAAAAAAGTAGATTTTTTAGTGTGGTGTTAATGTGCAAAATTTTATTGATTTATCTGTTGTCGTTTAGGAAATATTAAACCGGTCCGGGACTTTTGGGACAGTCTGTAGATTATCCTCCATTTTTCCCATTGAGTGTCCATTTTGTAACAGGTGTGCGACATTTGATCTTTCCGGTTTGTTGTTCCTCCATGCAGATATGTGGTTTTTGAAGCGGTTGACGAAGTTCACAGTCTGTCCAATGTAGAAGCTGTCACAATCGTTACAATTGATCCTATAGATGCCCAAAGAGTCGAATTTGTTACAATCTTAAATTTTTGGATGTAGTATTTTACTCATGGTGTTCTGAGTCCTGTAGGCTATTGAAACTCCGTATTTCTTGAATCTGTTAGCAGTCCTTTGTGTTGTAGTCACCGTGTAGGTAATATGACATATCTGATGTTTTCCTCTTTTATCTCTTCTAATGTTGTTCTGCTGTGTAGTTTATTCTGGCTATTGGTTTTTCTGCTCGTCTTTCTTGCGATGTCCTCTATTGTCTTGGTTTGAAATCCAAACTTGTGCGATCTTCTTAATGGTGTCCAGTTCTTTCTTCCTATTGGCTTGGCTAAGTGGGATCTTATATGCTCGGTACAGCATGGATCTAAATGCTGCGGTCTTGTGAATTGTCGGATGGATAGACTTGCTGTTGATTGTAGTGTCCGTTTGCGTAGGTTTGCTGTAGATGTCAAACTCAATCTTGTTGTCTTTCCTCTGTGAGGTCCAGGAAGTTGATCTTTTGGTTTTCTTCAAACTCGTTGGTAAAGGTGAGGTTCGGATAGTGGCTGTTAAGTGTCTGCATCATCATTTCGTGCTCTTGCTCCTGGGATTGACTGAAGATAACAAGAATGTCTTCTAGCCTAACATATCTAGGCCTTACATACAGTTTTACATCATGATTCTTTCTTAAATTCTTTAACATTTCTTTTTCCTGATGCTGTAAAAATATTTCTGACAAAATTGCCGAAAGTAGACTTCCCATAGCTAAACTATCTGTTTGTTTATCAAATCTATTGTTAAATCTAAAATAATTTTGTTTCAAAACAGTCACAAGCAATTTTACAATCTGATTGACATGTTCATTGTCTTATGATGATTGGAGTGTCCAATAGAAAATGATCACCACTTACCATTTTTTTTGTATATTTACCATCTTGTGACACAGAAAACATATTACTATAACCCAGAATGCCAACCGCATGGTAAAAAGCATTAAGTGTTTTGAGAGAGCTTTGCTCTGGTGGCGCTGCCTACGATTGACAGGCAAAGCTCTCTCAAAACACTTAATGCTTTTTACCATGCGGTTGGCATTCTGGGTTATAGTAGTATGTTTTCTGTGCTTGTGAGTAACAGTATAAGCATAAATATATGTTTTAAGTGTTGTAAGACGTATCTTTCATTTACTTTCCGTAAATTTTTTAACACGTACAATGCTGATCAAGAAGTTATTTAATAAAACAAAGTAAATAAAACTTAAAACAGCCGTAACTCCGTTAATATTTGAGAGCGTGGAAAAGTTTTTGCACCGTTATATTCAGCTAAAAATCTAGTTTCTGGTGATATATAAGGCTACGATTATACTAGGACGCTGGCGTCCAAGAGGCTAGTGTCCCACTTCGAGCCGAAAATTACGTGATTTGTGTTAAGATGCTAGCCTCTCGGACTGCCATTTTATTTCAATGTTTTGTCACTTTTGTTTATAATCTATTTAAATAACATTAGGTTTAACGAGTTGCAGGTTTGCTGCTTTAAAGGAGGCTTATAAAGTTTGTTTTTAGTAAAACATTAATAGCTCAGTAAAAAACAAAATGGCCAAGTTTTATCAAAATATATCCATACACAAGCGAATTCCAACAGTTAACAATATTTTCTATAAGAATAACATGGGAATTTTTAATCTACACTTTTTTGAATTTTCTCCTTAACTAATAACCGTACAAAAACACTTTAACATACTAAATTATTTGTTTTTTAGCCCATTAAAATTGTCTATAGAGAGAAATTGGGCAATTTTGTGTTTTGCGGGTCAAAAATAACAAAACCCTTTTTTACCCCGTAAAACCCCGTTCCCAAGGTCCGTTCATGCTGGTTCGCTAACTCACAAACACATCCCGCCCTTCACCTTAAAGCCACCTCTGGGGACATCAAATTGAAAATGTAGATTGCTCCCGGGACCAAGTCTTACCATGAGACCTATGGTAATAGCTTATTCCCTATATTCACGCACTTGTCGAAAGAGAGCGTCTCGGATGCTAGCCACCTAGTCATATGTCATCTGCAGAGTGGTCAACATTGTTGATGTGTAAATTTTGATGTATTTAATTTCAGTAATTTGATAGTTATTGCAAGTTCTGTGACTAAAGTAATAGTTTAAACTATAGGTAAAGTATTACTTAATAAGTGGAAACATAAGACTTTTAATGGATTATTAAAACTGAGTTAAAAATGTAATTACGAAAATACTCACATTAATCTGAGTAAAAAGCACATGTTTTTAACAATAACTGAAAATTCCTCTAGTGAAGATTGCAGGACCATTATAATGCACTCTTTGTGAAACTGATTAATTGTTATCAATTAGTAACACTTAGTCATTGGACTATTGCGATATTAAAAAAAATAATAAATTAAGTAATACACTCAAGACAGGAAGTAACCTACACTTGACTCATGCAACAGGTTTCTGTTGATGACGTCTGGACCTCCACTCCCCCTGCCCATCACTAACTTTTAGACAGCTTATCACTTGGAACTGACCCTTGGATACAGTATCTCCAGCTGTATTTACATTGCCAATAGAACTCTTAAAATCATTGTTGCACATTATCTGAAATTATCTGTCACCTTTTTTGAAGCCTATTTTATTTTTCTCAAGTTTTATTTCAGTTGAATATTAACATCTTATATTCTATCATTTTATTTGTTGAACAATAACATAATATACAATGATTTAAAATAATTAAGGAAAACAGCATAAGTTTTAATTGAGTAATTGATTCCAAAAATCTTCTAATATGTTTTGACACAGAAAACAAGACATTTAATTTTTTTCTCATTATGATGAAAAATGCTAAACATCCCTGTGGAGTGTGTGGTAAAAATGTAAATTCTGGTGCTATTTTATGCAATGGACTCTGTAAAAAATGGAATCACTTAAAATGTGTTAATCTAAAATATAATGAAGTAAGAAATTTTCCATTAAAAGAACAACAGTTATGGCAGTGTCCTAATTGCCTAGAAAATCATTCTGAAGATGAAGAACTGCTAAACAAAAGTCTCACAACCATGACAACATTGGTGGAAAATGAGTTTGATGACTCTCTTAATTTAGCCACTGAAATAGGTAGTGCGATTCTGCGTGAAA